ATCAAATCAGGATTATTAGCACCCATTGAAGCTGAGCCTGAGGTATTCTTTCTTTATATTGTAGCTTCTTCTTTGACTTTGTCTTCACTTAATTCACATATACACCAAAGGATATAGCTCTGAAACAGCTTTTTTCCTTGATCCTTGCAGCTTGAGGTGCCAAAAGAATTGATCTCTCAATCACAATTGCAAGAGTTAACCTTGCAGCGAAATCCACGTTTTATCCCTATTCCTGGTTCAGGTCTAACTAAATCACATGACAAAGAGACTGGGATCACCCAGCTTCGCCTATCCAATGAGATACCTGTAAATTACAAGGTACGTTTTTGATCCTTTTCTCAGTGCTTGCTATTATGAGCATCTCGATAATGATTTACTTTCTACATTATAAGGCATTTGCTTCAGTTTGCATTGTCTTGCGCTGTCGGCATAACAAATTGTGGACTTACTAACATTCTTTGAAAAAGTTGTTTCGTTATTAGCTGAATCATGTTACTTGGTAAGTATTATGAGCTCGGAGGAAAATAAACTATATAGATATCATATGTGCTACAAACTATGCTGTTGATTAATATTACAATGTCTATTGTAGCGTCTCATATCTAGAAAAAGACATACCTCTGAAAATTTCCCTTTCCGATATAGATATCAAAGACAGAATCTCGGGCAGGTGTCATGCGTCTTATTGTTGGTGGTGGACGAGCTGCTGAAACTTCCGATTCCAAAGGAGCTGTGGTTGTTGGTGTTCGTACACTCAGCGAGGGGGGTCGCGTTGGAGACTTTTCAAGGGAGCAGGCAAGTGAAGCTATTGAAAAATGCATTGTGATTTTTATTTCTCTAATCTAGTATTAGAAAAAGAAGGATATGAACTTTGCTGAAAGTCCTGTGATTACCGTCTAGGTGGAGCTTTTCTGTGTAAATCATTTAATAAACTGCTCGTTGGAGTCAACTGAGGAGTTCATTGCCATGGAGTTCCGATTTACTCTGAGAGACAATGGAATGCAAGCAGCTTTTCAGCTACTTCATATGGTGCTTGAGGTAGTAAACTATAACTAATACGATGTCTAAATGCTCTGCAACATTTCTGTCTCTTGATTTCATATTGATTCACTCGTCAAGAGCGTTTTATTGTATCCGCTTGTTCTTTTTCCTCTTTTTTGTTGTTGTTTCTAATCTTTTGCTGACGGTTCTCTGGCATGCAGCATAGTGTCTGGTTGGAAGATGCATTTGATAGAGCACGGCAACTATATCTTTCGTATTATCGATCAATTCCTAAAAGCTTGGAGCGTGCAACTGCTCACAAACTCATGACCGCCATGCTTAATGGTGATGAGCGATTTGTTGAGCCAACACCTAAGTCATTGCAGAACTTGAATCTAGAATCGGTGAAAGATGCAGTCATGAGTCATTTTGTTGGGGAGAATATGGAGGTAATATTTCAAACGTGAACGTTGATGTTTGCTTGACTAATATTAGTCATTTGATTTTCATATAATTTTCCGTGCTTTCCTACAGGTAAGCATTGTAGGGGACTTTTCAGAGGAGGAAATTGAGCATTGCGTCCTTGATTACCTTGGTACAGTTAAAGCTAGCCATGATTCAGGGAAAGTACTAGGAACTGAGCCTATTGTGTTTCGCCCACCGACAGCTGGCTTGCAGTTTCAACAGGTTCGGAACAAAGCAGTAATGCAGAGACTTTCTTGTTCTTCTTTTTGATATGTGATCAAAGTAGGATGTATTGACATAGTTATCCCTGTACAGGTATTCTTGAAAGATACTGATGAGAGAGCATGTGCATACATTGCGGGACCAGCGCCAAATCGCTGGGGCCTTACAGTTGACGGGGATGACCTTTTCGAGTCTGTTAGCAAGCTTCCTGGTGCTTATGGTAAGTTTCACCGTAACTGAACAGACAGAAATCTAGGAGTCCATATGGTGTCACGATTTTCATGCATGCACAATGAAATTGCAGATGGACTTTTGAAATCGGAGGACCAGTTGCTAGAAGGAAGAGACAGGGATTTGCATAGAAAGCTTCGTTCCCACCCTCTTTTCTTTGGAATTGCAATGGGTCTTCTGGCCGAAATCATAAACTCTAGGTAAATCATTAAATCATATTATTCAAAAGCTGAGTTCTTTGCTGCCACCGTACTATCTCGTTTTGTTTGTCCCCAGAATTTTCTAAGCAACTAACCAGCAGAATGAAGCATTGTTTAGGAAAGTCAATTTTTCTTCCACCCATAGCTGAAAGGTCACTTTTTCCGTCATTGCAGGCTTTTCACCACCGTAAGAGATTCTCTTGGACTGACATATGACGTGTCATTCGAGCTGAACCTATTTGATAGGCTGAATCTTGGATGGTATGTGATATCTGTAACGTCAACTCCCGGCAAGGTAAAGTCTTTGTCTTTTGCTTAACATTGAATATGCTGCTCTTTCATCAACACTTCTCTTCACAAAGTTTCTCAATGCCCTCTCCAGGTGTACAAAGCGGTTGAAGCCTGCAAGAGCGTTCTTAGAGGTTTGCATAGCAACCAAATAGCCCCTAGGGAGTTGGATCGGGTTAGTTGTCTGTTTTGCCTCCTCAGCTTTTAGCTCTTGTTAGTTCGTTTCCTTTTATTAATGGAATTTGTTTAAATTAACAGGCAAAGCGAACTCTTCTTATGAGACACGAAGCTGAACTCAAGTCCAATGCGTATTGGCTTAATCTTTTAGCTCACTTGCAAGCCTCCTCTGTTCCGAGGAAGGTAATAGTAGTACTCACTCGCATGTTCTTAAAACAAGGAAAAGGAAAAAGCTTTATGATGTGTCTTGTCGTATCTGACTTAACTTCTGATGGGGTTGTTTTGGGTTTTAGGATCTGTCGTGCATTAAAGAGCTTACTTCATTATACGAAGCTGCTTCGATTGAGGACATATACCTCGCTTATAATCAACTGAGAGTTGACGAGGACTCTTTGTACTCCTGCATTGGGGTTGCTGGGGCTCAAGCTGGTGAAGACGTTACTCGTAAGTGTAAAATCTCTGATGAAAATAACAGTTTTTTTACATCATTTGTGTATTGAAATACAAAAACTCCGATGTGCAGCTTTATCAGAAGAGGAAGAACCAGAAGATGCGTTCTCAGGAGTTCTTCCAGTGGGACGTGGCTCATCCATGACCACAAGACCAACAACTTGATCCATACATACATTTGGATTGTAATGTTATGTAGGTGAAGAAGACATGTACCATAGAAAACAACACAGAGGAAAGCAGAGAAACTTCATAAGTCTCGTGGTTACGGAAAGAAGCTTCTTCAGAGGATTTCCTGAGAGGTTTTGGCATAAGAGGTTTGTATACTTGTGATCATCATCAATGCTAAAGAAATGACCTCTCATTTATCTATACTACAGATTTCTTGTCTTCTTCATATTTAAAGAAAATAAAAAGTAGCAAAATTAGTGTACCTTTTATTTGTTGGACTGGAATTGATCATTACTACTACGGTGCAAAATTTATGCAGCTGTATATGTAATTGGACCCTGTTTTAAATTAGTCTCTTGTTCTCATGCTCCGTCATGCTCTCATGTAAAGAATGACGTTGGCTAGTTCAAATTAATCAATTATACCAAAGACTATTCACTACACGCATCACACACATTCATGAAACGCACCACTCCTTTACTCCTTCACAACTACTCTTTACTTAACACGTCGAACGTGCTTATGCAAAAGCAAAACGAAAGAAGTAATACTCTTTACATTTCTCGCACAAATTCATACCAACTCTTTCGTACTGTACTATTGTATTCAAGTTTTAGCGATACAATTATTTAGATTCACTTAATACATCATTTTCAAAATACATAACTTTTAAAAGAGTACTTTGATATCCCAACAACAAGAAACAAAAACTGAAGATCAATTGTTCTTTGGCAAACTCAAACATCAGGGGAAAGGGAACTCATCCACAACATAAACGGGAACTCATCCACAACATAAACCAAAGTAGTAACCTCAAAATTATCAAATTGTCAAAAAAACATATTCATTATATTCTCCACAAATAGGCATGTGCGTTTCAAGTCTGATGTAGCAAATTCATCAAAAAACTTCTGTTTGAAAACTAAAACCAAATAATCTGTTCGAAACTTGATGCCTTCGTCAAAGTGCCCAATAATTTGTAATAGTAAGAAATAAAAATATGGATGTTAAATACATTAATACCTCAGACGTATTAGACCAAGGACAACGGGGGTTGGGGAAGTGGAGTTTCGAGTTTGCTAATATACTTTTTTTTTTAATAATTCCTGCAAACCAGAACAAAACAAATTAAAATATGAAACAAAAACCAAAATGCTCAATTAAACGCTGATTGCTTAGTAATTAACCTATTTTCTTTCATTGGAGCATAACAGAGATCATCTCTCTTGTCCTTTCTTTCTGCCCAAATGAAACCAAATCAACAAAGATTTAATTTGTATAAGTTGGCATTAATTTCTCTTATATATAAATGGAAAGATAAAAGATGCTAAACAATATCGTTTTGTTTTATTGCACGGACACAACATAAAGATTCATCTCCTTTCTTTAAATACACAAGGAGTTAAGTTTGTTCTAGTTATAAATTAGATTTTCTTAACTTGTCCTTTGATTATATATCTCGTTTTGTTGACGACAACAAGAAAAGAACAAAAATGTATCAACAAAAAAAGACTGAAAAATGTCGCTATATTTCTAAGTGTTAGTAAGTGGGAACAAAAATAGTCACAGTTTGAATTGAAAGAGAGGATACTCATCTGCTGCAGGAAGATGTAAACTGCAAATGGGAGATTCATCCTTCTCTTTCTCTCCACGCAAGCCCCCAAAAACACCCCTAAACAAGCCAATTTTCACTCATTAAAAACCAATTTCAATTTATCGTCTAGCTAGTACACATCTTTAACCAAATATCTGTAGATCATGAGCGGGCACATAGTACACACCTGAATTTAGTTTCCTCTACGAACCCTGTCCCTTCTAGTTCAGCGATCCACGACACCTGCTCACAAAAGCAAGACAAACTTTAACTAAGGCAATATCACTTACACACCAACTCACAGTAAATTTGAAGACTGATGCAACTTACTTTTGCGCTCCACAGTTGCAAGGGATTTTGTCGTCCTCCAGCGGGAATTTGTAGTTGTAACTTATTTCTTCGCCAGTGTCTATATGCCGTTTAGCATAAATGAATATCTTTTTCTTGCCTTCCACGCTTATGATCTTGGTGTAACAATTAGGCTGCATAAGCACAATTGCTTCGATAAGACCCCAAATTCACAAGCAGAAACAGCCAATTATACGAAAACCACGGTTTGAACTATTACCTCACATGAATGGTTTATAAACCTCGCTATGCCACCACGCTTTGTGGCATCAATCTAAGAGTCATAGTAAGCAACAAGTGATTCAGAAGTGACATTAAAAATGAAAACATAAACTAGATACATATGTATTGCACTGGTTACTAACCACATAGCCATCGTCAAGCCTAAAAAGATAACTGCTTCCAATTCCCATCTTTTCATATTGGCGTTCACGTATCTCAGATATCTGTACCACATTCACGATCAAAAGGTTCATCAAAGAAGATAAGATACTGTACAGAACTACAACCACGTACCCACAAACTAATTCAACGAAACACATGAACAAACAAGTCATACTTACAGAAGAACGAATCAACTCTCCGACATATTCGATCACAAAGTCCTCGGCATCAATTGGTTCAAGTGCAACAAGACCCCAATCATGAATTTTGCTTTGTTGAAACCGCAATCGCTTTTTCCTAGCCTGCCACCAATATGACAAATAAAAAACATGGAAGATATTAACACTACACGGATGTGTTGTTCAAAGAGAAAACTGGTTTTTGCTTTAATCACCTTTAACTGAGAAATTTTCAAGAGGTCAGCACCATCTGCAGCAGCTAGAAGATTACGCATTTTGGCCCTGTTAGTTCTTGCAGAAAGGACGTTCTGAGTCGAACTGATTTTGGAACCAAAATGTTGTGTGTGTACGCAAGAACTGCCCCTAACACGGGTTCTCTCTTCAGGACTAGCCTTTAGTGACCATGCATGCCAATGCCAGCCATTAATAGATGTGCGTGCACATCCATCAGACTTTGGCATTGACATTAACACCCTTTTCTTGCCTGACTGTGGTTTCAGTTTTGCCAATGGTTTTAATGCAACCGGCGTAGGGCTGCCATCATCCATTGTTAAATCCTTAATGGGAGAAAGCTCGGCTGTATGTTTTGGTGGTAGCTTCCTTTTAAGCATCAATTTCTTCGAACTTACTACACAAACCAACCAAATACATGTAGTTCGAGATAAATAATTTATAACAGAATAAAACAATATAAATAGTAGATAATTTAGGAAACAATTGCCTTTCTGCAGCTTATCTGATGAATTGCAAGGAAGCTTCTCTCCATTTTCAACATGATAGCCTTCCTTCTCTTCATTCTCAGAATCCTTGGAAGAGTGTGATAATTTCCGACATGAAGATACACTAGGGAATTTTTTATCCAACGAATGCTTCGTCTTTGGCGTTGATGATTGCGGTGCTTCATGAAAGAAAGTACTAATTTGTAAGAATTTGAGGCCCATGCATTCAAGTATCCAGAGCCTTTAAGAAACAAAAGTGTGAAACAACAACATAGCACAACGTTAGAAACTTACAATTACGGGACTTCTGTGATACGCTGCACGCAGACTTTTCCACAATCTTTTTTCCTTCAGCAGCATCTTCTGGTGATAGTAATTCTTGTAAATAAATTGCAGGAGGCATTCTCAAAACCTAGGAAATAAAGCAAAGAGATCTTACTTTTCCGTCTCTTGGTTGCAAAACCAAGGCTTTCATTATCAACTTCCTTTCCAGAAATCTCAGTAAAACCTCTGACTTCTCCATTGCAAGATTTTGTACCTTCGACTCTGACATCTGACATTTTCTTTCTCTTGAGCTTTGATTTATGAGCTGCTTTTCAAAAGGATTAAATCAGTAGGTTGAAGGTGCATAATTAAAAAAGCTCAAGAGCTCCAACGACAGCAAGTTGAACATGTAGGAAACAACTAAAGGAGTCTTTTTACCTTTTTGCACTTTCTGAGAAGGCTTACTCGAAAGATTTTCCTCATGATCTTTGCAGTCCACGGTTTCCCCAGATTCTTCAGCAGACACTGAGATCTCCTCACAGGATTCAGCAGCACTTGTACCTTCTTTCAACAGTTTTGTTTTATTCCTTGATATCCCTAAGTATACACCAAAACGAACATGAAAAAAACAAAAATATACCCTGACAAGTGACATCAAAGTAGAATCACACCTATATAGTACAAAGAAAACTTACTGCTTAGTTTTGTTATTAGGAGTTCGTCATCACATTCATCTGCAATTCCAACATCTTTACCAACCTTTTCTTTCTGAAACTTTGTCACATTCTTGGTGACACCTGCATGATAATAAGAAGAACATTATAAAGTAAAAGTCAAGTTTCTCTAATTCGGATGGAAAAAGGCTAAAAATTACATACTTTGATCCCGCCGGTAAGCATTCCTTATCTTCTGTTGACTTGGTTTCCGAACTGACAAATCTATAATGGGTGTATCGACTTTAAGGGCTTCTTTGATGGAATGAGAGTCTGTAGACAGTTTCTTAGATCGTTTAACCAGAACTTTTTCAGAAGGTCTGACACATGGTTTCCTTGGCTTCTCTGCTGCCTGATTCGATGTATTAGACTGTAATAGTTTTTTGTTGCGGGAAACAGTTTTGAGCTTCCTTGGGGCCAATCCTTTCCGTGAAGCAAGGAATTCGTTAAGAGAAAACTTCATGAACACTGAACTCCACTCTTTCAAAACAACATTATGCAACTCCTGTCTACATAAAGCCTTTGCAACATATTCTTCCATCTCAGGAATAGATTCCTTCGACCTTATAGGGCGAAACTTACAACGCAGAGATGGCATTTCTATGTTGCTTTCACATCCAGGTGGTGGTGGCTCATGAATATCCAGCGTATCAAGTTCATCATTAACAGGCGTATCCAATGTTGTACTAAAAATATTTGCAATAATATCCTCAGATGTGATTTGCTCAGAGGATTCTCCCTCATGCAACAGTCTCGGAGAACATGACAGAGTTTCCTGCAGCAATTTGCAACAATTTGAATTCAGCAGCCACACGGTAGCATGTCACAAACAAGATCAGAACAAGAAACGACAGATTCAAAGATGATAATATCCTAAGATGACTCCAAAAAAAGCCAGACAAGGAGATTTTATTTCTCCTTACCTTGTGCATTTTGCCATCTTGGACACTACTAGCAGCATTATTTGCTCCATCTTTAATGAGAATGCCAGTATAATCACTCAGGTGAGTTTCCAGAGACAAAAAGATCTCACTTTCTACATGTTCTAAGATGCTTGCCATGATGCTTTCTTTTCCATCATTGTCTGGTAAAGTTGATTTTCTAGATACTTCACGGAAACTGGCTGCGTTGGTAGCTAAATCAAGTTCATTGAAGTAAGCAGTTTTGCAGGAAGAGGAATCCGCCCTACAAGCAAACTGCAAACATTAAAACGAGAGTCATCCAATTAATAACCAAAGCTGATAGAAAAATGACCCTTGTTTAACTTAAATCGTAGAAAAAGTTAAACAAGCTCACACTCTCAACAGCTTTAGTTTTTTCTGAATAATCGGTCTGGGAACCCTTGCAGTAGCTAGCAACGGTTGATATATCATTATCAGGAGAACGAAACCAAAGTTTGTTCTGTCTCCAAGATGATGTATAAGTTGCCACAGTATCATAAAAGACAGCATTCCACATGATTTGCATGCAATGGTTGTAAAGTATTCCAGATACAGCTGAGCAGGATGTCTGAAAGTTCTCAGGGCTTCCAACAGATTTAGTATATTTGAGCGACTCTGTTGCTTCAGTGGTTGAGACACCAGTTTTCTCCGCATTAACAAGTTGAGACTGCTCAAACAAAACGATACTAAATTAGTGTATGATCCAATGATAGCCCCTGAAGTTTTATCTGCATGTATGTGCACAAAAAGGGTGTCTATATAAATAAATATGTAAATACGGAAGGAGTTACCGATATGGATTCAACAACATGGACAGCAGAACTGGGTGAAGCAGACTTGAGATGATCGTCCCTTTTCTTCTCCTTAAGAAAGTCTGAAATCACACTGCTGGTGATTTCATCGAGTAGAGCTCGTCTAGCTATTTTCATTATTCCACTCTGAAGCTGAGAAGAGAGTTCTTCAGAAACTTCGGATATGAAGCTCACCCCAGACATTGACTCGTCACAGTTAGCACTACCACATTTCTCCCTCCATACACCAATTAACAATGCTAAAGCAATTGGTCTTAACTTGTTTTTATCATCACGTATCTGCAAAATGAAACTTATTTATAAGGAGCTGGGATGCAAATGCAAAACTTCTGAAATAAACAACAAAGTATGAAACTCAACTAATCACATTCTCTTGAAATTTATTTTGAAGTCTATATTTTTACAGCTTACCAGAGCTGCATCTGTAACATATCCATGCTGCAGCCAATTATAGAGCTCCAGTATAGAATGTGATCCATGACTTCTACCCTCAGTATCCACAAGAGACCAGCAAGCATGTTCACTTCCCTGACAGAAACAACAACAATCAAACACAATATAAAATAATAATAATCAAAACTTGAGCCATCATATCTGATGAATTATAAAAATGAGTTTTCACCGTGAAAGGAAGTTACCAATGAGAGGAACGAAGCCACCAAATTTGCTTCCTCCTGGTTTAACTGATCTGAGACAGGACCATTAGAATTGGTCTGTGGAGGCAATGTCTGATTGGAAATCAAATTAGCAGCAGAAGTTGTTGCCTGCTCTGTTTGAGTCTCAGGCTGATGGACTGTGGCAACACTACTAACAGGTGGAACTACACTCATCATTCCATTTTGTAGATACGCAAAGCCAGTGGCAACATGTTCAGGAAACTGCTTGAAGTACTTCAGCGGTACAGAATTTGGCATATAGCCATTGATAATTGGATACACAAGAAGATCCTCGGGTAGAAAACCAGTGGACAGCCCATCAAATAACTGCTGTTGCGTATAAGGGCCACACATTTGGCCTTGCTGATTACCGTACATCCAACCAGTAGCATACATTGTATAGTCTTGACGACTCTTGTCTAGCGATGGAGCTGTGCCACTACCACAAGCCTCTTGACCTTCACGGCAATCTCCATTAGACCTACAGCTAATCTCCAGGGCTGAATCCAGACCACAAAGTTCATCTAAATCGCAACAAGCAGAAGATACAGTAGCCAAATCGTCACAGCTGACAAGCGAAAAGTTACAGTCTTTTTAGATTAACCATTCGATAAAAAGAATTTACAAGAATGAAATCCAATAACTACAAAGTGGCACCTGTCACAAGAGTAGTCTTGAGATGCTTCTCGTCCGGAGATGGAAACTTCGGAACTGTAGACTCCGATACACATCGAACCAACAAAATTTGGTTCCAAAGCGATGCCATGGCTTTGAAAAGAGGAATCTACAGCAACCATGGCCTACAGAAAAAGTACAAATTTCATCGACTATTCAGTGAACAATGTGGTAGCAAATTAGTGAGAAGAAAAGGAGATTGTTTTCGATAAATAATCGAACGTAATGTCAATCAAAATTGAAATCGTACCCAATCAGTACAGTGAGAAAAACTATGAAAGACTAAAAATCGATAAAGCAAATTCTGAAAATCTGGGAACCGATTCCAAGTAAAAATCAAAACGATCGCCAAGTTAACATTTACAAAAAAAAAAAGAACTATCGCCAAGTTTGGCTACGGACTAAAAATTTGAGTCGAACGTAAACCTAATTACTTAAGGAAACGCAACCGAAATCAAATTGCATGCGCCCCACAAGCTGAAACCTTTGATCGAACGACTAGACGAGAATAGAGAATCATTATTACCTCGAGGATTGCAGAATGAAAAAACTAGACTTCTAAGAAAGCCAAGCACGATCAAGGAAGCGATGAGACTGTCACCAAATTGGAGTGAAATTGATAAGGAGACCTTGAAGAGGATTTATCCAGAAAAAGGAAGAAAGAAAGAAAAATTAGAAGATGAACAAAGAAGACGGAGTTTTTTCTTTATCACCAAATAATTTTTTTTTTTTTAAAGGAAAATGTAAAAAGAATGACAATTACAATTAGGGTTCGTTGAAAGTTGAAACGATGAAACCAAGCCACCTCAGTTTAATTACATAGTTTTACACTTTTACTTATTCACTAGGGTAATTATCACCACTATTTTTTTTATAACGACTAGATTTAGACCCATGCTATGCTGCGGGATTATTAGTTTTTACATAGCTTTCCATATATGCCTATTTCGCTAACTCATTTCTTGTATTATCCATTTACTGTTTAAATTAATACATAAGTTGTTATAAAATAAAATCATTTAAATTTGTATTTTTTTAAAAAAATTTGAGAATCATTTACACAAACTACATTTTTAAAATTTTGTACTAATATTTTTTTATGTTTATTCAAAGTTTGTTGATAAATTTAAATCGAAGAATTTGTAATATAAAAGAATTGTATTACTATTATTATTGTTATTTTGAAATTTTGTTTAACATTATCTTATTAGAATTTGTTTTTTATAGTTTTTTCCCACAATGCTTTAGATTTAATTTTATTTGTGCAATTCCTCTTGTGATATTAATTAAAAAAATTAGCATTTGTTAAAGCAGCTGTGGTTACTTTTTTTCTTCTAAGTTAAACATTTTAAGCTACTACAACTGAAAGTGTAATATCTATTTTTATACTACTTAGTTAGAATACTACTATTTATTTTCTATAGTATACCCAGTCTCTTATTTTGAAGTTAATTTCTATTATACTATATTACATATATTGTATCATCGGCCGAATACGCCTGCAAGGGGATCTTGTCCCATTAGAACCATTACAATATGTCATTTAATTTGTCACACCTAAACAATGGAGCACTATTGTCGTAAAAAAAAATACAATGGAGCACTATTAACAAATTAACACCGTTTACTTTCACTGAAATATTAGTTTTAAATAAACAAATGATCTAAAGACAACAATGAACAAATGATTCTCATGAGCAATTAACAGTGGATGGAGAGCTGTGTGAGAGAAAAAAGCATGAAACTTAGTAGTAAGATAGGCAAAGAAGGAGATAAAAACATTTTCTACTTTGAAACTTCAGCAAACCGAAAACGATGATGTCTTCACCCGCTTCTCCCGTCTTCACCACGGTTTTTTATAGTTCTCTAACAAACCAATAAATACAATGTTCGAGTATAACCAAAAATAGAGTTACAAAGTTAATCTGAAGTCCCTTTTGAATTGCTTATACTGCAGCCTTTTCTTTACTAACTCTGTAAACAACAGGGAATGATCCGATGACAGATAAGCCAATAAAAGTTGTCACATTCATTTTATCAAAAAAAAAGTTGTCACATTCGAGAGAAAAATATGAAGCAAAAAACCTGAAATAATAGGTAACAAAATCTATTGCTTTTACTTCTTTCTAAAACGCAATAGATCTATTATATATGAAACTTAAAAGGTAGAGCATAAGATCATAAAACATTGTAACAAAAATATTACCTTTGAGACAATTAATAGAGCGAAATCAACATCATCAGGTAGACCATTAGAAGCTGTTTACCTGAATTTCTCTACGTCTCATACCAGAAAACTGGTGTCTTTGTCCAATAAAATCCGGCTTAGTAATCTGCAGCGCTGCTGTTTCAAAACCTCTTACAAACTGCTATCAAAAGCATGGATCTTCAAAATCAGCAACAATTTTGAGTTAAGGCTCAATTTAGACTCCAAAAAACTATCAAACATACACAAAATCAGAATTGTAATAACTTTTCAGATTCATTAATACAAAGAAGAAAGTAAATCACACAGACGACATATTAAGTTTCCAGAATCTTACGCACCATAAAGCTTGAAGCTTGATATTTACCAAACAATCTTACGGTATTTTAAAGGCTCTCATAACCTGAACAACTTTCCTCACATGTCTTTGCCTCTTTTGTGTTCTTCTTGTCGCCATGGACGACCTCTCGTTAGAGAGAATCGAGATTTCAGATCCACCACTGGCGTCGTTGATTGAACATGTTTCCTCCACTCCTGGTTACGTTGATGGCTTGATATTCGGCCAAATCCACAACAAACTTTCCTTATAATCAGTTTCTCATGTTTGAAATGAGAGAGACGATTGGGATTTGATCGAGATTGCGATTGAGTTACAAATTAGGAGAGAGAAAGAGATGGACAAATATTGAGATTGAATTTGAGAGAGGAAGTGAGACCAAAGATTGGGATTGAATTTGAGAGACGAAGGAGCTAAAACCAGAGAGTGATTTTTCAATTTGTCGACAAATTAAGATGACGTGGTTTCCTTCTCTGCTGACTGGTATTATTTAAAATGTTTCTATTGGCTAATGGTTTTTTATGAGGTGTCAACACAAGAAAACTTAAAAAATCCTAGGTGTCAACTCCTGGAGCAACACAAGGGATGTTAGTGTATTGATTATCACTAGTCATACTATCTTACAAACTACACTTTACACTAGCTAGTAGCTACTGATCAATGACTCAATGAGCCTGATCGGTAACATAAACTAGTACAAATTGCACCCAATGAGTGGATTCGGTACCCTTCATAATTTTGCTAGTGCACTTGCAACTTAAATTCATGGAATCAAAACTATGAGCACATCACTAGGACTCTTTCTTGGTTGTATAAACCCTCTTGGCTATTTTCAGTTTCTCTCTTTGACACCCCACAAAAACATAGATTTTCTTAGTTTTACTTCTAATTTAGCCAATGAAGATTTGTAGTGCATGTGCATTCATGTTTTTTATGAGGTGTCAACACAAGAAAACTTAAAAAATCCTAGGTGTCAACTCCTGGAGCAACACAAGGGATGTTAGTGTATTGATTATCACTAGTCATACTATCTTACAAACTACACTTTACACTAGCTAGTAGCTACTGATCAATGACTCAATGAGCCTGATCGGTAACATAAACTAGTACAAATTGCACCCAATGAGTGGATTCGGTACCCTTCATAATTTTGCTAGTGCACTTGCAACTTAAATTCATGGAATCAAAACTATGAGCACATCACTAGGACTCTTTCTTGGTTGTATAAACCCTCTTGGCTATTTTCAGTTTCTCTCTTTGACACCCCACAAAAACATAGATTTTCTTAGTTTTACTTCTAATTTAGCCAATGAAGATTTGTAGTGCATGTGCATTCATGTGGATTTGATACCCTTATACTATTACGCATGTTGTGCACTTGCAGAACACATATTCATGGATTAAAAACTTTGAGCACAACAGTCTCAATATAAACCAAAACCGTAGGATTCTTTAAAACAAAAAAAACGTAACTAAAGATAAAGAACTCGCGCGACTAAAATCGATCGTATCCATACAGGTGGATGTTCATAGCAGAAGATTATTCGAAATTGGCAGAAAATATAGCACAGGCCACATGGAAGTGGTGATTGGTCTCTGACAATTGCTTCATCATCCAAATAAGTGCATTCTATTGAGAAATGACTTTTCATAAGATAGGATAATAATATTTGTCCGCGTAGACGCGGTTATCCAGCTTGACTTCCGTATCATATTATACGATAATAGCATATTTCTAATGTCTAGTCCAGAATCTTTCCCCATACTTATCAATAATGAACTATCATTTGTCCAGCTACGATATTAGAACATGTTGTAGAATTTGTATGAACAAGTTGGGACGATAATATAATATAATAACTATAAACCCATTATGTAAATTGCAATAGAAAAATGATAATAAGATTTTACAAGAAGCACGTCGAGTCAACTCCATTCCTACCTGCCCAAACCGCTGGCTTCTTCTTCTTAATTAGTTCTTCCCATCCAAAATTAGTCTGGTTCCAACCGGTTAACCAAAATTTACAATCGATCAAATTGGGAATTTTTGTTTGATTGTTGTAAATCTCAGTACTCTAATATGAAATGAGTGAAGAATTCGTTACTCCTATCATTATTAGAGACTCATCTATTTGCTTTGGAGGTTTAAATTACGAAAACCGGTCTATGACAATACTAAACCACCGGTTCGGTAAAGACACTCTTTTGTTTGAATTGAGTTCTGGTTTGACTATTAAAAGCTGTGAGACAAACGATCCGAGTCTCCGCGTCTTCGTTATTAAAACGTTGGACCTTTCTCCCTTTCTTCTTATTCTTGTTCACTACGTAAACCCAACAACACTTGTCTCTGCACCAATATATATATAAACATATCCGCTATTAGTATCTTACAATCACAAGACACATTAACAATTTCCAAGAGAGGAAAAAACCCAAAATCCGAATTTTAATTCACAAGAAAATGAGAAGCATGGTGAAGAAGCTACTATGGTGCGGATCCAAGAAAAATGCTACTTCGAGGACATCGGCATTGCCAGAAGAAGGGAGAGTTCGTGTTTACGTAGGCATGGATAAAGAGAGTCAATGCAAGCTAGAGGTTGAGGCTAATCTGTTAAACCATCCAATGTTTGAGGATCTATTGAGATTGTCTGAGGAAGAATTCGGACACTCGTACGAAGGGGCCTTGAGGATTGCCTGCGACATTGATGTCTTCATCAATTTGATCAATCTACTCAAAACCACCAATCATCATAACCCTTTGATGGATCAATAACTCGGCAAAGTTAACGTAGGTTTTATACACTTTTTAGTTTATTTTTCATCATTTTTTCCTCACAAAAACAAAATGGACAAAGTTCATTTGCTTTCTTTAAAAAATAATTTATTTATTATTGGGGTTGGAAGCCAGTGGACATTTGTATTAATTGGCTTCCTTGCTCCAACTATTCTTTGTTCGACATTATTAAAAGTCAATTATTTGAGTCACCGTGAATCTTTTCGTTTTCTTTTTTCCTTGCGCCGAAGATATCTTTTCATTTTGTAGTTCTAAATTCAGACTTGAAGTTGTAATAAAAATCAGAGACATTTCTCCTTTTATGAAGATGTCTTCTTGATATTTCTCTATGTTCATTGTGTGGATTTCACTTTGTGCTAGACGCTTCGTGGTGCTTTCGTTCCTCCTCATTTCATCTCCATTGGATTATTAAAGATAGCCGTACGCCAGCTAGAGATTCTCCATCATTATCCATCCTTGTAGGATCGTACCAACGTAAGTCCTACATTAACTGGTATCACGGATCACCAGATGATGTATGATGTAAAGATTGGAATCACCAAACTCATTGATCAAGTGATTTCATGGCCTATGGCTTGAAATGGAAGGTGGGGGGGGCGATGGTGATGATGAAAATGGAGGTTTTGTTGTTAAATCCACAACAACACACGAATACACTGACTTGAGTCTCACAAGCTAGTCTACACGCAATCATACAAGAACAATGGAATTTCACCAAAGGCTTGAAATGACACGTATACAAGAAATCTCTTGTCCAAGAGAATTATCAGTAGGGAGCCAAATGGCTTTTCTATTTCTTTGAATTTCAAAATCTAAATATTACAGTCGTTGACAAAGGACCTTTGATATGATCTTATATCCGACAATAGATAGAGTTTTTGGTCTTAGTTTTGTCATCCGAGTGGTATGTTCGTTTTTGGTGTGAGACTTATGAATCAAGAATACAATTGTTTTTTTTCTTTCTAAAAAATCAAAAAAAAAAAAAGAAATCTTATAACCAATAGTTTTAATTTAGTTAAACTATGGTTTTATCCCAAATGAGATTTATTTTCTAGAACCCGAAAAATCAATTCTCGAATAAAACCGAATAACGGAAAACCTACGAATAACGGAAAACCTATCTTTCAACCAAAACATAATTGCACATTGTCATAGTGAAGAAGTTGGAAAACAGAACCAATACTTATATGTTCGTTGAACTTGAAGTACATAAGTTTTGTTAAAACAAAGCCAGTGGCTGTTGCTTAATTCGTTAGGCGTTTGTTTATTTTTATCCCATAAATCTTAAGAATATTACGAATATTACATTGTATTTTGAAAGTTAAAGCTTTATGAGTAAAAACTAAAAAATATTAGTTTTTAATAGAAGCTTTATGACTTTCTAGACTTTAAACGTTTTGAAGCTAATATCGTACTCTTAAAGATATTTTAACTAAAAAAACCGTCGATCAAAATATTTCTGTGATCTCCACTTTGTTCTCGTCCTCTTTGGGAGAAGAGAGAAGACAAATGCAGTATAATGACTTTTTACCTTTTTTAGGCTGCTTAAACAAAAAGTTACCAACAGAGTTTGACTTTGAGTTTGCGTATTGCAAAATTAACGGCAGCAGGAAAAGAGGTCCAATGTGCCTAATAAGTTGCCGGTCAACAAGCACTACTATTTGTCACTTTACTTCACACTAAATTATGACCAAATTACTTATTCCGTAATCTACTTATCACAAAAATATTATATTTGTTCGAGAAATGTAAAAGCTTTTACATGATGAAGTAATTATAGTTACACAATTCACACATCTATATGTGAAAAAAAAATGTAATGATGGGTTGTCAACTTTCATCCGCGGTAAAATATTAAATCTACTAGACAACTTTCTTTTTAAAGTGTGTTTTCAAAGAGAGTCAAGAGATATTTTGTGAACGTGAAGAATAGTAGAAAGAAGGAAGAAGAAAGAGGAAAGAGGGAGAGAAGAAGAAGGTGAGCGTCCTATAAAGCGTGAATCGACGCCGCTTTCTTTCCTCTTTCTCGGAGGATCTAAATCGCATTTTTCAAATTCACCGACGACGGCTCCTCCAAGTCGTGATCCAGTCCTCGAGATCTGAATCAGTTGACCATGGCGGCGGAGAGCGACCGGAAATCCTCTGCAGTCTCCGATATGGGAGCTTGGGCAATGAACGTGATCAGCTCCGTCGGAATTATCATGGCCAATAAACAGCTAATGTCTTCTTCCGGTTTCGGCTTCGGCTTCGGTTCGATCTCTTCCTCCCCTTCTTAATTTGCTTCTTCTTCTTCTTCGTCTTCTTCCTTTGAGATCTGATTGATTTGCGGATTTTTTTTTTCTCCAGCGACGACTCTCACCGGATTCCATTTCGCTCTCACCGCATTGGTCGGTATGGTCTCGAACGCGACGGGATTCTCCGCATCCAAACACGTCCCAATGTGGGAGCTGATTTTTTTCTCCATTGTCGCTAATGTCTCAATCGCAGCGATGAATTTCAGCCTCATGCTTAATTCCGTCGGCTTCTACCAGGTTTTTGATTCATTCTCAATCTCTATTAAGAAAACCAAATTGATCTCTCTTTGAATCAATCGGCTCTGTTTGTTTCATAGATCTCGAAGCTGAGCATGATCCCTGTGGTTTGCATCATGGAATGGATTCTTCACAGCAAGCGATACTCAAAAGAAGTGAAAGTAGCGGTGGTGGTTGTTGTTGTAGGTGTTGGGATTTGCACTGTCACTGATGTTAAGGTTAATGCTAAAGGTTTCATCTGTGCCTGTGTTGCTATTTTCTCCTCGTCTCTGCAGCAAATCGTAAGCTTTTTCTTGCTGCATTGCGTACAACTTTTTGATCTAGTTCTTGAAGCTAAGGATCTGATCTTATTGAGTCTCTGTGTGTCAGTTAATAGGATCACTGCAGAAGAAATATTCAATTGGGTCTTTTGAGTTGCTGAGCAAAACAGCACCGATTCAAGCTCTTTCACTCCTTGTTGTTGGCCCTCTTGTTGATTACCTCCTTAGTGGGAAGTTCATTATGAACTACAACATGACTTCTGGTTGCTTTGTAAGCATCTCTTTTCAAGCTTTGATTTGTAAATGATTCGTTTTGTTTATCATTTGTCTAACGTACTCTTACCATTTGCAGCTATTCATCCTTCTCTCGTGTGCTTTAGCTGTGTTCTGCAACATAAGCCAGTACCTATGCATCGGGAGATTTTCGGCTGTATCGTTTCAGGTTATCGGTCACATGAAGACTGTATGTATCTTGACGCTGGGATGGGTTCTGTTTGACTCTGCGATGACTTTCAAGAACGTGGCGGGGATGATTGTTGCGATTGTTGGGATGGTGATATACAGTTGGGCCATGGAGTTGGAGAAACAGTCTAATATTGCGGCGAAGGCTTTGAGCAGTGTGAAACACAGCTTGACGGAAGAAGAGTTTGAGCTTTTGAAGGAAGGTGTAGAAACTACACAGTCCAAAGATGTTGAACTTGGCGGATACACAAAAGGTTAGGGGCAGAGATGATGGGTAGAAACGGAAACATATAGTCTTCAGGTACAATTTGTTCAACTATATAATTTGTATGTTTTTGTGTTATTTAAAAAACCAAGGGGTTTGGGGACGAATAGCGCAGAGATCGAATCCTCCCAGTTACGGATCCTTGGAGTTTAGTCTTTGTTTCGACCTTTGGTTCCTTGGTTATATGAAAGAAATTGTTTTTTTGTTATTTATAGATCTACCAAATTTCGATGAATGTGGGTTCAATAACAAATGTTTTACTTTTACAGAGGACTTATTCGTTTATTTTTTTTTTGGAGATAGAATATGACAGAACCTTTCCATTCTTACATATTTGTCACAAAGTTTTCATTTCTAAACCCCAAACCAACAACCTCTAAAAACTATTTCTAGTTATCTACCAAACAAACTATTCACACCTTCCGTGTTAAACTCACTCGTCCTCTTAACAGTCTCTTCTACACTTCTTGTTATCCAACATGAGCAGAAATCAAAGAGAAAGTAGAGACAGGAAGGTAACGTAACCCAAGAGAGTATAAAACACTGTCACTCTCCAGCATTAAGCAAACCTAATCCAATGTACACCAAAGCTATTGTCAAGAAGGAATAACTCAATAAGTGGTCTCGGGGATAGTTTGGGAAGAATGAGGCTTGATGTAATAATAACAAGAATGTACCTTCTTGGTCGTTGTAAACTCGTCCAAGCATTTCCACCGTCGTCTCACCACCTACGACGAGAAATATATATATGAATACTCGTACTCTTATATAGTTTGTTTGGTAGATATTGTTGCGATCTTATATAGTTTGGTACATATTTGTCCTTAATAACCTCATAAACTCTTTATCTTACAAAAATCTAGAACAATTTGGTAAAAAGGAATGAGGAAAAGGAAGCTCTTGTTCTTCTAGTTTTTTTTTTCTTTAATTCTTGTCCATTTACTCTTAATAATAATGTTAATCCAATTATAACCCTCAAAAAGAATTTTAATCCAATTTTAATTATATATGTATTTTTTCTAGTATCATTCTTTTTTTCAAAGACAAGTCTAGAAATTTTTTAACTGTGATATTATCCATAACTGTAAATTTAATGTACCTTGTATAAGTTTTTTTTTTTTTCTTTTAAAAAAATTAATTCTGTGTTTTGAAGAAGAATAATGTTCCTTGAGATAAACTTTTCCATAAGACTTGCGACAGAGAAGAAAGTAATGTGCCAAAGGTTAATAGAAGTGTGCAACTGGAATGCCTTTTTATGGGATAAATTTATTCTGAATGCATTATTTCATGAGATTTCATAAAAAAATTACCAGTTATTATGAATGAAAAGTAAAACCTATCCCACAAATTCCATTTTTGGATGGAAAAAAAAGACACAAATCCTTCTTTAAATTTATCCCTTTTGTTCCACTTCCAAAATGTTGATGAATGAATGGGATTCACTATTTCAATTTTTTATTCCATTTCCTTATCATCCCATTTTTTTTCATTCCACTTATATTTATTCATTTTATTCAGCATATCCCCAAAGTGATAACTAATAGTTAAATTCTACAATTACAAAAACAGTCAAACTCTTTCACATGAAAGCTATTGTAAAAATCTATTAAACATGGATAACATAAGATTTCAACTGATCTATTCAAATATTTAATTGAATAATAATAGATTTCAAACTATTTTAGTGAAGAGATTATAAATACAAGAACTCATGACACTAGATTTTAAACTCTTTGAATGGAACATATTTTAAAAACTATAACCAATAAGTCTATCTAACTTTTCTATAGAGGAGTTATGAAAAAAAATTGAATAACAATGGATTATAAGTAGATTTCAAACTTATTTAAAACTATAGTTAGATAAAACCCCCTTAATCATTTTTACTTTCCTTTTTTGGTAAAATCATTTTCACATTCCTATAAATAGTCATCACCACAAGCTTTTGTCTCTCTCAAGTCTCCTCTGATTCTAATTTCCGACAACAAATGGAAACCTCTGCAACTCCAGAGCTTGACCCGACCGTCGACACTACAACCACCGATGCTCCTCCTGTTGCGACAGAGGAAGTGATTTTAACAATCCATGGTGCAATCCTCCACCTCATCGACAAATCATGCAGCGTGGAGCTCGCTGTCGGCGATCTCGAGATTCTCCGTCTTGTACAAGACGACATCACCATCGCGGTTTTCGCTCGCGTTGCGAAGGAGATCCAATGGCCGTTAACCAAAGACTCACCCGCCGTGAAAGTCGACGAGTCGCACTACTTCTTCTCCCTCCCACCCGTCAAAGAATCCGAGTCCGAGACACCGGAGGACCATTCAACGGAAGAAGAGAGCGTCGAAATGCTGAATTACGGATTAACAATCGCTTCCAAAGGACAAGAGCCGTTACTAGAGAAGCTAGACCAAATCTTAACAGATTACAACTGTTTCACTGAAGAGAAACATGAGAGTGAGGAGGAGACAGGGGAGGATGGTAATGATGAAAACGTGTTGGAGTTAACGGCGGCGAAGGAGACTTCTCCGGAGGAGTTAAAGGGGAAGAGGAAGAAGATGGTGAAGAAGGAATGTACAGCTTATTGGACGGCTTTAGCTCCGAACGTTGAGGATTACAGTGGGGATGCTGCGAAAGCGGTTGCTGCTGGTACGGGGCAACTGATAAAAGGGATACTTTGGTGCGGAGATGTGGCGATTGATCGGCTTATGTGGGGAAATGAGTTCATGAAACGGAAGCTGACCAAGGCTGAGAAAGAGAGAAAAGTTCACCCTAAAGTTTTGAAAAGTCTAAAGAGGTATGAAACCCTAAATGCACAAAGTACAAACCAAATTTTAGTATCTAATGGTTCATCATTGATAATGTGTTTGAGACATTTTAGAGTCTTGGGAATGTGTTTAATTTTTTTTTGTATGGTTTCTAAGTTTTATGTTGCCTTGGTGTGCACTCCTTAACTGTCTAAAACAGGGTAAGGAAGATAACGAAAATGACAGAGAAAGTGGCGAATATGGTGCTCTCTGGTGTCTTGAGATATTCTGGTATGTTTTCGAGTTCTGTGAAAGACAGCAAAGCCGGGAAGAAACTCTTTACTCTTCTTCCTGGAGAAGTGGCTATTGCAACACTTGATGGATTTTGTAAGTTGCTTAAATGTTGATGATCATATACTGGTGGTTATTGAAGCTTTCTTCTTCTTCTGATTCATGCATTTTGGTTGTTTTCTTTTATTGTATAGATAAGGTTTGTGATGCTGTTGAATTCGCTAGTAGAAACGTTTTGAAAACATCTCTAACTGTCACAACTGATGTCATCGATCACAAGTGAGTACACATTAATTGATAATACTACGAAAGCCAATCTTTTATATAGTTGCAACATGGTGGTTTCAATCTCATACTGTTTCGGATGATTATTTGAAGGTATGGGGCAGATGTAGCACAGGCGACTAACGACGGGCTTGGAGCAGGAGGGCATGTTCTTGGAACGGCATGGACTGTTTACAAGATCAAAAAAGTTATTAATCCCAAGAGTTTCTTGAAGTTTAAGTAGGACGAAGCTTTTTTTCTTTCTCTCATGGATGTTACCCCAAATATTTTTATTGATGTTGTTGGTACTTACTACTTAGTACTGTTTTGCTTGGTAGATGTTCTGCCATATTGCAAATTTAATCCAAAACAAGAAATTTGTGGTTTTTCTGTTTATCATTTTACTAATTGTTCTTATATATTATTTTTGATGGCTTATTTACTCTTATATCCGAATAGTGAAAAGGAATATTTACACATAATTTCGTTGAATAATGTAGCAAATGTATTCATCAAATAAAGTAAGTGAACAGAGATACTTTTAGTAAATCCAGAAACAACTATATTTTTTTTGGTGAAGCCAGAAACAACTATATGATATTTCGATAATGTAATCCAACATTTAATGTAAAACAATAAATTTGCTTCAATTCACTAATGGCATGAACTGTAAATATAATCATATAGTTTAACTTTATATTAAGGATTTTATTTTTAAATGTTCCTGATAACATGCATGCATGAACTATAACCAAAACATGTCATTTAAATTCCAGGGAGGATTCTTCTTTTTTTGTTGGTAAAATGTGAAGATTCCAGGGAGGATTCGTTTGTTCTTTTGTAAAATTTGTATTTCAATATTCATATAAACAAATCTTCTCCATTCATTTTTTCTCCTCCGATTCTATTTTCCGACAACAAATGGAATCCTCTAGGCTTTACCCTCCCGTTGACACATCAACCACCGCTCCTCCTCTTCCTAACCCCTCCTCTTCTTCCTCTTGTCATCCTAACAATCTCTATCCCTCCGTCGATGACGTCAACGACAACCATTCCCCAGAGCACGTCCCTTCTGCTCCTCCGGTGGCAACAGAAGAAACCATCCTAACAATCCCCGGAGCGATCCTCCACCTCATCGACAAATCATGCAGCGTGGAGCTAGCTATCGGCGACCTTGAAATCCTCCGTCTCGTTCAAGGAGATATCACCGTCGCGGTTTTCGCTTCCGTGGCCGATAAAATCCAATGGCCGTTGACTAAAGACTCACCAACCGTAAAACTCGACGAATCTCATTACTTCTTCTCGTTACGACCAATCATAGACTCCGGATCATCATCATCTGATCGTCCCTTCGAGCATGAGATGTTAAACTACGGATTAACAATCGTTTCCAAAGGCCAAGAACCGTTACTAGAGAAGCTAGACCTAATCTTGGATGATTATAGTAGCTTCACGTCGGAGAAAGGAGAAGAAAATGTGTTGGACTTGACGGCGGCCAAGGAGACTTCCCCGGAGGAGTTAAAGGGAGAGAGGAAGAAGATGGTGGAGAAGCAATGCACGGCTTATTGGACAACTTTAGCTCCTAACGTTGAGGATTATAGCAGTGTTGCTGCCAAGTTGATAGCGGCTGGCTCGGGACAATTGATCAAAGGGATTTTATGGTGTGGTGATGTGACTATAGATAGGCTTAAGTGGGGGAATGATTTCATGAAAAGGAATTTGTCTAAAGCGGAGAAAGATAGAGAAGTTAGTCCTGCTGCTTTAAAAGGTCTTAAAAGGTATGGTGAAAACGTATTTCTCTATAGTTTTATCATTGTGTGTTTGTTTCTATTTAGCAACTCAAGATGTTTAATTGGTGGTTTATAATAGAGTGAAGAAGATGACAAAGAGGACGGAGAAAATGGCGACTGGTGTGCTTTCTGGTGTTATAAGAGTCACCGGATTCTTTTCGAGGTCGGCGGTGAATAGTAAAGCCGGGAAGAAACTGTCTGGTCTTCTTCCTGGAGAAATGGTTCTTGCAACACTTGATGGATTCAGTAAGTTGATTAGATCATCTTGGCGTTTATTGGACTTTTCTTTCATGCAGACAAGGTATGACATTTTCTTTTTTACTATTGTGGCATGCAGACAAGGTTTGTGATGCTTTTGAAGTAACGGGAAGGAACGTTATGAAGACATCATCAACTGTCACAACTGAAATCGTGGATCACAAGTAAACTAGTTTAAAAAGATTACAAAAGCAAAAATGTGTGGTTTCAAGGTTATGTTGTTGGTATGGTTAATGTTTTTGACGTTTATTTGTAGGTATGGAGCAAAGACAGCAGAAGCAGCAAACGAAGGGCTTGGAGCAGCAGGGCATGCGATTGGAACCGCGTGGACTGTTTTCAAGATCAGACAAGCTATTAACCCGAAGAGTGTAATGAAGCCATCAGTACTGACTAAAAGCGCATTGGAAAAAAGGGCAGCTAAAGAAAAAAAGAAGGGGAAAAAAGGTTCCAAGTAGGAGAATGCTTTTCTCTCACGGTAACATTAGTTTCATGCCTTGGGGTACCCCAAGCAACTAACATACAATTAAAAAGACTAGGTGTTGACGGTTGTTGTTGTTGGTGGTACCAAGTGTTTTTGATTGTACATTGATCATCACTTTTATACATAACACATACACACAATTTGTAGATATTTTAGATGTAGCTATGCTTAACCATATACAAAATGTTCTTCTTCAGCTATCATTTCACTTTTAAGGTTGAGTAATTGCTAACTGGTAACTCTTGATTGTTTCTTGGGATCTTAGAGTTATCATCAACAAATTTCTCACAATAAGATTCTTTAACAATTTGTTACTTTGTCTTTGTTAAATTTCTGTATATATTTACCGCAAATAGAATCCCAAAACTGGTGTAATTTCTTACTAAAAAATCATTATTAACGCTAAAAGTTACCCTTATTTTTTACTACGGTTTTTTATCGAGAAATTATCCTTATTAGATATTTTTTTATTATATTGGAAAATATCACAAATAAAAAAACAAAGCAAGTGATCGTAAGATTTTTATTTTTAAATTAATTATAACATTGATTTATACGAATGTTCCTAATTCCCAAGTGGAAATCATTAGTTTGTTAAATCTTATACATATCTGAAAACAATATAAATATTTTATTCCGTAGTAAATATTTCCACCAAAACATATTCCTAATAGGAATCTCACAATTGCTCTCTCTATATATAAAACTTATTACAATACCTTATTACAATACAACAACGAAAACTTAATTCACAAACTCATTAGAGCTGGCAAAAAGATTAAACCATCAAACATGAAGTTTATCAATCTTTTCATGCTCTCTGCTCTCTTCCTAAGCATCACAAGCTTAGTCAATGGGGGAATAACAAGTGGATATGTTCGACAAGCGCAACCATCAACCGAGATGTCTCTCGAAACCTTTCCTCCTCCTTCTGGCCACAATGCTCCTGAACAGGTTTTGGTTTCTTTTCTTCTACTTCTCATATCTTAATCAAACCGTTATCTTGTAGTGATTTTTTTTCTTCTTCATATTTTTGTGTGTTTTTTAGGTTCATATCACGCAGGGAGATCGCGATGGACGTGGTGTGATCATCTCGTGGGTGACACCATTAAATCTGGATGGTTCTGGCATCGTTACTTACTGGAAAGCTGGTAGCAGCAGTGATGTGAAGACGGTAAAGAAGAAGAAACAAGCTACGACTCAATCTTACAGATTCCATGACTATACTTCTGGATTTCTTCATCACGCTACCGTTAAACATCTTGAGGTTTGTATACTGTGTTTTACTTTAACTTTGATCCCAAGTAACAAGAACGAGTTTTTTTTTATACTGTTTAGTGTTTCTTAATGTTCCTTTTCTTGATTCACACGGCAGTACGACACCAAGTACATCTATGAGGTTGGTACCGATCAAACCGTTAGACAATTCCACTTCACAACTCCACCAGAGGTTGGACCTGATGTTCCTTACACATTCGGCATCATTGGTAATCTACTGATCTCACAAAAAACTAGACTCGAAGTTGTGTTAATTAATGGGTCGTTGTGTTAATTAATATGTAGGTGATCTTGGACAAACCTATGCATCTAACGAGACCTTGTACCACTACATGTCTGACTCTAGAGGTCAAGCCCTTCTCTTTGCCGGTGACTTGTCTTACGCGGATGACCACCCGAACCATGACCAGAGAAAGTGGGATTCTTGGGGCAGATTCGTTGAGCCTTGTGCTGCTTACCAGCCTTTTATCTGTGCCGCCGGGAACCACGAGATTGATTTCGTTCCGAGCATTGTAAGATTCACATACTCTCAATCTTATCAACTCTTTTATGATATTCAGTTTGTAACCATATGAATCTTAATTAGGGCGAGCTTCATGCATTTAGACCCTACATGTACCGTTACCCTAACGCCTTCAAAACCTCAGGGAGTATTTCTCCTCTTTGGTATTCAGTCAGACGTGGTCCTGCTCACATCATCGTCCTCTCCTCTTACTCTGCCTACGGTAACAAAACAAACCCTTCAAGTTTCAATTTTCTCTTAAGTTTTCTTGTGTAACACGTTATTGGTTTTTAGGCAAATACACACCGCAATACGTGTGGCTCGAACAGGAGTTAAAGAAGGTGAACAGAGAGGAGACTCCATGGTTGATTGTCATGCTTCACTCACCGTGGTACAACAGTAACAACTACCATTACATGGAGGGCGAGAGCATGAGAGTTATGTTTGAGCAGTGGTTCGTAAACAACAAGGTTGATTTGGTTTTCGCTGGTCACGTTCATTCTTATGAGAGATCCGAACGTATCTCCAACGTTAAGTTTAACATTACCAATGGCTTGAGCACTCCTGTGAAAGATCTTAACGCTCCGATTTACATCACTATCGGAGATGGTGGAAACATTGAAGGAATCGCAAACAAGTAAGAAAATAGAAACATTTTTTTTTTTTTTTGTTTCGAGATATAAAATTAAGATTGCTTGCTTTGTTTGTTTCTGCAGTTTTATTTATCCGCAGCCGAGTTACTCGGCCTATAGGGAGGCTAGCTTCGGCCATGCTCTTTTGGAGATTAAGAACAGGACTCATGCACAATACACATGGCATAGGAACCAAGACAATGAGCCTGTTGCAGCGGATTCCATCATGTTGTTTAACAGACATTTCTTACCAAAGGAGGAGATTGTTTCCGGCAACACTCACTAGGGTCTAAGCTTTTGGTTTTAGTGTTTGATTTAGATTTTTTTTTTTTTTTTTTTTTTTTATCTGGATTTGTTAGAGAAATTTTGTTTTTTTTTATCTGATTTTTTTTGGAGAATTTTTGAATCTCTTCACTTAAGTTCATAGAGTTTTACCGTCTTCCAACTTTGCACGATGCATGCGTTATTAAAAAACGATTATGTAAAACAAGTAGCTAGCGAGGGGCGTTTGGTTGAATGTTCATCATGTTACAACGAGAAACTAAAAGAAACTGAAATAGAGAACGTATATATTTTGAAACAATATTATGTTGGAATTGGTGTATCCATCGAGTTTTCTCATCATCTACACATAGGTGAGTAATGGTTTTAGCCAATACTCAGCGAAGAGTAGTGATCACGTGGCATTTGGAAGATCATGAAGTTGCAGCTCTAAATTCTTTAAACCGTTAAGGATCATCATATCTACAAGTTAGTCTTTGTTTGTACTGTTTTTTCTTGGGTGGCAAAGTTACGTGTTAGTGAAGGAACAGATTTATGTTTCACAAAGGAAATAAAAATGGATATGTGATCTCAGAGAACATATCAAATAGCTTCAAAGAGAAATGCTCAAACTAAAAGAAAAAAGTTTATCAAATCTTGCCTGTTGCGTCAGTTGGGAGAAATCCATAAAACTGGAGTCAAAATTTTAATATAGATTAAAAACCATAGACTCGCTATATGTATTGGTCAGATTGTCAGAAGACTCGCTCTTGTATTATGTACGTACGTGTCTATATATGCTTTTATAATTTAGATAACGATTCTGGTCAAAATGCAAACGGTGTAATAAAACCATCGCCACAATGGTTTTGTTTTGCAGATGTGGACATATGTGCAAATGTCTGAAACGTGGCCATGAGCTTCAATGGAATAGTATAAAAAGCATAATTCTCTGTCAAATTAATTTCACAGAAAAAAAACTGAAAGTGCATCCTTATATATATATCTCCAAATCTACGCATCAACTCGACACAACTCTTCCAACATCTCCACCACTTGAATCATCGTAGGCCGTTCTCTCATGGTCTCTTTTATACAAAGACAAGCAATCCTAAAATACTCTTCCACACTCTTCTCATTCTCACCACCACCACCAACAACCCCCGACTCAACCATTTCGTAATACCGATTCTGCCCCTCGAGCATCACAGCCCATTGGGCCAACCCAACTTCCTTCCCATCAACCTTCACCGGCCAATTCGGCCGTCTCCGCGTCGCCATCTCCAACATCAGCACCCCAAAGCTATACACGTCAGCTTTCACCGTCGCCGCCGTATTCCCTCCCCAGTACTCCGGCGGCATGTACCCCATCGTCCCCGCCACTTGCGTCGAAATATGCGATCTCGAATCTTCCATCCTCCGCGCCAATCCGAAATCCGCTATGTGAGCCACGAACTCCGAATCTAACAGAACGTTGCTCGATTTGATATCTCTGTGAATGATCGGTTTCGGAAGTCCGTGAAGATAAGCTAACCCTTTCGCTACGTCGTGCGCGATGCTCACGCGTTTTGACCATGACACTGAATACGACGATGGAGTCTCGTGTAGCCAGTAATCGAGGCTTCGATTCTCTAAGAACTCGTAGATTAAGATCCGATCCGAGCCTGAGATGCAGTAACCGAGGATTCGAACGATGTTTGGGTGACGGAGCCGACTTAAGGTTTCTACCTCCGCGGTGAATTCACGGAATCCTTGTAACGCGTCGGGGGAGAGTTTTTTCACGGCTACTACGACGCCGTTTGGGAGCTCTGCGCGGTAAACTTGACCGAAGCTTCCGTCGCCGAGTATTAGATCTGGGGAGAAGCCGTTCGTTGCGACTGAGAGCTCCGCCATGGATGTCTGGGGGATGGAGGGATCGAAACTCTCGCTTTCGGTCTCTGTGACGGAGTTAAGATCAGGAGACGACGAAGGAATCGGATCGGGGAAGTTACGAGCCCGGAGAGGATGGTCTTCGATGGCAGGGCGGCGTCGACAGGCGAACATAACGAGGAGGAGCATTATCAGGATGAACATGGAGCTCACGGCGGTAGCGGCTAGGATAGCTGGGGTTTTGTAATCCATAGGCGCTTGGAGAAGAAACTGTTTGCGCTGAGTGTGAGACAGAGAGGGAGAAAACAGAGAGGGATTGAGAAGGAGAGTGAAAGAGACGATCAGCCATTGATAGCGACGGAGAGGAAAAGATAATTGGAAGAGAAGGTTGATTGAGTCGTAGATAAGACGAGTCAACGATTTGCTGCAGAAGTCTACGAGGATGTACACGTGTCTAATAGTGGCGGGTTAAGATTGGAAGAAAACTGATTTTTTTTTTTTTTTTTTTTAATTCTACCATTTGGTGTATGAATGCTTGAAAATCTGGTTTCAGTTCCAGTTCACACACAATGATCATATTAGCTAGCCCTCGGCACGGAGCAAATACTAGGCAAAAAACAGGTATCCGTGATCCGATCCGATCCGTCCGGATATTTGATTTTCTGATCCGATCCGATCCGAAAATTTTCGGATATCCGAAAATCCGGATATTCGTAACTTTGTTTAATATCCGCGGATTATCCGCTCCGATCCGTTTGATCCGGATATCCGTAACTCTGTTTAATATCCGTGAATTATCCACTCCGTAAATATTTTAAAAAATATTTGTATTTAAAAAATTTCAGAAAAATCAATTTTTAACACAAAAATATAATTTTAATTAAAAAACTATTAGTAGTTATTTTGTTTTAATTTTTTTTAGTGTTTAAATAATCAATTTAATGAATATAGATTTATAAAATTTAGATATAAACATAACAATCATCCAATTTATATATGTAATTTTATATATATAGATATATCTATATGTATAACGGAGCGGATCGGATATCCGGCTTTTAAAATTTCAGTATTTGTGATTTGCTCCGGTTTTAACGGATATTAATTTTTAGTATTTGCTTTGCTTTGTAAAATTACGGTTATCCGGATTTTTCGGATCGAATCGGAACGGATAACGGATCGAAGCAAATATAACGGATAATTTGCCCATGCCTAATATTAGCTATAAACATGAACCGAAATCTCTATAATGTATAGTGTAGAGAACAAAAATCCATGCATCTCTCAACCAGGAGCATGTCCAGCGGTATGAGAGACATTATGTCAAGGGAGAATAAAGACTTGTTCAGAACTTCACCGTCAATCATGATTTTGATCCTGATTATGTTAATGAAACTTATTCATAAGTAAAGTAAACAAAATTTGATTAATCATGATCATGTTAATGAAATTCCAATGTAGTATATTACCTAAAGATAAGAAGATGACTATTGGAGCTATGAGAACTTTACGTTTTACGTTTTAACAGTTTTTGATATTGACACGACTTGTGTAATGCCAACATCAATAATGTTACAGCGTGGTAAATTCTTACTTGAAAAATGATAAAGTGTCTCACTCTATGGTATGATTCAGCATTACATCCGTCATCCGTCATTGCTCATTTTGATGATTATGAAGGTTCAAGCTTCACCTTAAGGTTATGGATCACACAAGTGAAACGAAAACCATGCATTTTGATTCTTTAACAAAAGAAATTGTGCAGCAATCTGCAATTGAGTTCGAACGGGTCATCTGATGAGGTATGACATTTTTAAATTTAACACCTGTAACACAGATTTATCACAATCTAAATTGATCCGCATTACATCCGACAGAACTGATTTCTGGTAGTCAGCTAAGATACAATCTCCAAATTAAACTTCTCTGCTACAACATAGTTTTAGTTTTGTCTCCAAATTTGTAGCTTAAGTTATAGTTGAATTATGATGGCACAGAGTTGACATCTTATCTTAATTGATTCTGAGGTCCGGTAAATTTAAATAGGTAAAACAATACAAAAAAAGCGACAAAGAAAAAAATAACATGGGCAAAAGTTTGTGGGTTGATTGCATCTTATGTCACCATCTCAATTAAATTCGTTCGTTGAGTAATTTCCAGTTCTTTTCAAAGGAAACCAAATCAAAATCTAAAAGAATGAATAGAAAAAAGATGGAAGAGTCAGAAATCTCGTGTGGAAAATCGAAGCTCATCGCGCCTACAAGACACTTGCTTTCGATATATATTTCGATTTCATCACTCTCTTCCCAGAGATTGTAATGCAAAAATCAGGAAAAAAAAATAATTGACGACGATAAACTGTTCTTCAAGAGATTTGGGGGAACAAAACGGACATTGAAAGAGGAAGACGAGTTTTTTTTATATATAGACGAAGATAAAAGACGTCGATTATTTGCCCTAGTTTCGATTGTATTGGGCTTCTAGGCCCAGTTAGGAAATGGGTTCACATTTGTAATTATCCAATAACATTTAGGGTTTCAAATAATTCGAAATTAGGGCTTAGTTATATAAGCTCACTTCTCTGCGCAGTCAGTGGTTCGTGAGCTTTAGGCCGCAGGACTCATCGGAGATACAGGTTATTCTATCTTCCTCTCCACTAAACCACTGATTGTGATCGATTCTTCATCTTTTTTGTCTGTATTCGATGATCTACTCTTCGTCTATTTTACATCCAGATAAATTCATATTCTAATTTTTGGTATATTTTCGAACGATATCAGGAGGAAGAGAACAATGTCTCACAGAAAGTTTGAGCACCCAAGGCACGGGTCCCTTGGTTTCTTACCGAGGAAGAGAGCTAACCGTCACAGAGGAAAAGGTGTGTTTTCTTCACATTTTTGATTCAGTGTTATTTCATCGAAATTGAACTCTTGCTATTTTTTTCTAGAGTTACAATTTACATTCCTCAAATTTAAATTTCATTGTTTATTGGAAATGCTTTTTTTGTAATGAATCATCTGCTCAAATTTTATAGTTACGATTGTGTCTTCGTCGAATTTCGATAGAGTGTTACTGAAATTGGTACTTGTTTTTCTTCAAAATGATACATCTCCTCTGTATCGTTGTATTAAGATTGTTTTACCTACAAACTGACATTTAGCATTATGCAATGCTTACTTGGTTATCTTGGCATAGACCATCTGTTATTTTTTTAGATTTACAATTGATATTTCTTCAAATTTTGATTGTGTTGTTATTGAATTGCATAAGTAGTAATCATGTAGAAGAAATATTTGCTCTGTTATGTGTAGTGACGATTGAGTTTAGTCTCATTTTTATTAACATACAAATGTTGAATTTGAATATCAGTGAAGGCGTTCCCAAAGGATGACCAAACCAAGCCATGCAAGTTCACAGCCTTCATGGGTTACAAGGCTGGTATGACCCACATCGTTAGAGAAGTCGAGAAGCCCGGATCCAGTAAGTGTTCCTCATTCACTTTTCTTATTATTCATTCTCCATATCTAATCTCAACACTGATAATCTAATGACCACTTTTTCACACTTATAGAGCTTCACAAGAAGGAGACCTGTGAGGCAGTCACCATCATCGAGACACCAGCGATGGTCGTCGTTGGAGTTGTCGCCTACGTCAAAACTCCCCGTGGTTTGAGATCCTTGAACACAGTCTGGGCTCAGCACTTGAGCGAGGAGGTCAGGAGAAGGTTCTACAAGAACTTTGCCAAGTCCAAGAAGAAGGCCTTCACCGGTTACGCAAAGCAGTACGAGAGCGAAGACGGCAAGAAGAGCATCCTGTCTCAGCTCGAGAAGATGAAGAAGTACGGAACAGTCATCCGAGTCTTGGCCCACACTCAGATCAGGAAGATGAAAGGACTGAAGCAGAAGAAGGCTCACTTGATGGAAGTCCAGATCAACGGTGGCACCATTGCACAGAAGGTCGACTTCGCCTACAGCTTCTTCGAGAAGCAGATCCCTATCGACGCCGTTTTCCAGAAAGATGAGATGATTGACGTGATTGGTGTGACCAAGGGTAAGGGATACGAAGGCGTTGTGACACGTTGGGGTGTGACTAGGCTTCCACGTAAGACTCACAGAGGTCTTCGTAAGGTTGCTTGCATCGGCGCGTGGCATCCGGCTAGAGTCTCGTACACTGTTGCCAGAGCTGGTCAGAACGGTTACCATCACCGTACTGAATTGAACAAGAAGATTTACAAGTTGGGCAAGGTTGGTCAGGAGACTCACTCCGCCATGACTGAATACGACAGGTTTGTAGACATTTTAGAAACATCTCTTTTGTTGTTTTCTTGCTCGTTTTGTTTGTGAACTGACGATGTTTTGTGGACTATGATAGGACTGAGAAGGATATAACACCGATGGGAGGGTTCCCACATTACGGTATTGTGAAGGATGACTACTTGATGATCAAGGGAGGCTGCATGGGACCTAAGAAGAGAGTTGTGACTCTGAGACAGTCGCTGCTCATGCAGACTTCTCGTCTTGCCTTGGAAGAGATCAAACTCAAATTTATCAGCACTTGCTCAACCGGTGGACATGGTCAGTTCCAGACCCCTGCGGAGAAGGCAAAGTTTTACGGCAAAACTCTCAAGACTTAATAACAAGTTTTTCTCCTTTCATATTTATTAGCTCCTCTTTAAAAGTCTTGCAAGATACTCTTTTGAACGCATTGTTGCAATTTTGTGTTTTAGGTTTTTTTTCGAGATTATGAATGATTATTTACATTTTTTTAGCGTAATTTTTACCTGATCTTCTCATTTATAATTCAGACTATGAAATCATATAAATCTCAAGCAAACAGAGAATATGCAATTGCATCTTAAAAGTAAAATTTACCGAACTAAGACATAACTGTAAATTATGAAGTTACTCGGCTAATGTTTAATCTCGATTGTTTTTCGTTGCCGAAAATTAATTGGGTGATAAAGTCATTAATGCGGCGAGAAAGTCCTTTTTAACCCTCTACTAAAACGATCCGTCGCGCTTACCGGACTGCAAAAACCCGACCCGACGCGTGAGAAGTAACGCCCGACGATACTTTCATCGTCTCGCGACAGAGTTCCTCCTCCTCCCATGGCGTTCGAGGGATTTCCGCCTCTAATCGCCGATCAGCTCCACTACTTGCTCAATCACTCGCCTGATTCCATCAAGGTAACATCACTAACTTCACGAGATTCAAACTTTCGATCTTTCTCTTAACCCCTCTCTACGGCCTGCTCATCTTTCTGAATTCAGAAATTTAGGGTTTCTAGGGGGTAATTGGCTGATTTATTTTCCGTCTATGGCTGTGTAACGCTTTGTAGATCGAAAATGTCTGCTCCGGAAACAAGTTTAATCCCAAAATCCTGGATCGGTTTACTTTGGTTATACCTTACTGCCTGGAGACGATCAAATGTAAGTTTTCTTCTTCTCAGCTACATGATTTTGGTGATTGCTCAAGGTTTTCTCTTAAGCAGATGTTGAATTTCTTGTTTATGTTGTGGCAGGGGATGTTATTTACAATTCAGAGTATGCAATGGCTCCTCCAGATTTCATATTTGGGCCAGACGATGAAGATTTTATGCCATGTAGCAGTGTTGCTCCTGATGATGGTCAGTCTTTACCACTGAACAAGGCTTTATCTGAGTGGAATAACCAGGACACGGCACGTTTACTTGTTCTCATTCAAGGATTGAGGTTTGTTTCCATTTTAAAGATTTATCAGCATGGTCTGTTGTAAAATTTTGACCATTTTTTGAGGTTTGTGCGTGGCTGAATTGAAGTGTTTATTTTGATCAATTTACGGTTTAGGGATCAGTATGAGATATACCAAAGACGGCGTGTGGGTCAAGTGGATGATGATCGTGTGAAGTTTGAGATCAGCACCGTTTTAACTCGCAAGGTATTATGCATTTTTTCAACATTAGGAATCAGAATCAGATCTATCCTGTCTTCATGCTGCTTTAGAGATGGAAAAGATCAACAGTTTGGGGATATATTGCTTGAGTAGCTAAGGCTTGGTATAGCATGTAGATTATGTTTCTCGTGGCATGTGAATGAATAGGCTTGGAACAATGATGTCACTAATTACGGTTGAAATTTTGAAAGTACTTTTCTTTTGGTTTGGAACTTTTTCCCCAAGAACAACTCTAGACACCATTTATTTAGTTAGAACATCTCATCATTCTAAATGGTTATGTTCTTCTTATTCTCCCACTCTCAGGGAATTGAAATGCAAATGACTTCAGGAGTTGAAAAGGTATTTGTCGTGTCAAGATTCTTGATCATTTCTCTGTGACATCAGCGCGTTGTATGCATTTGACTTTTTTCCAAATTTTTAGTGTAGCCAGAGGAAGTAAAGTTTGCAGTACCTCTTGTGATGGATATGGGCATAAACAAACTTGTGGCTGGTTGCCCTTGGAAGCATGAGCAGAAGATTTATCTCCAGGTTCTCTCTTCCTTCCTTATAATAAGTCTCTTTTATTATCCTAATCCTTCACTCTTCTTGATAAACTGGTTATGGATGCATGCAGGTAGTATACCCGATTCTTAGGAAATATGAATCAGTACCTGCAGCACCGCGTCTGAAATTAGTATCATCTTCTGATTTAAAAGCGCTATTCTCTGTTGAGGACGATGTTAAACTTCCTCCATGGATGGATGGGATGTAAGTTACACACAATTCACTCTTATGAATGTTTTAAATATCTATATTGAAAACCCTGTGAATTTATCTATTTCGAAGGTGCTTGGCTGAATATCTTCCCCATCTCGAAGAAACCCTTGAGAGACAAGTCAGTTCAATTAAATCTTGTTACACATGCAAAAATGTATTTAATTTTCTGGGTATGATGGCCTTACCAAGCTTAGTTTCTAGATCCTGGAAGCTGTTTCCGCAATCGTTTTCAGAAGGAGCTTTGTTGAGGCATTGGCTCTTTTTCTTGGAAGACCTCTTGAAGCTGATCCCGTAAGCACTTTCCTGGCATGACCTTAGCATATATGTTTAAAAATAATCTCCGAGCTGCTCAACTTTTCTTATTTTGTTTTTCTTGCTAGACCTTTTGCCGGAAGGCTTCATTCCTTGCTGCCTCGGGACCGTTTGCTTTCGTGGTAAGTATATATATCACTCTTCAGGCCTTCAATACAGATTATTATACATACCTCAAAGCGGGATCAATTGAATCTAATCATGCTGATTCTCAGTTGGTTTTTGGGTTTTGATGTAGGTTCACTTCTTCTTTTCATCTCAATTTCCGAAGCAGCAACCAGCTCTAATGCTCCAAAGTTGTCAGGTATCAAAACTATATGCATACGAACAAAACAAAAGGCTTTGCATTTCCTTTTTAAGAGTGGACAAGTTTTTGACTTTGCAGCATTTAAACCAAATGAGTGTGCCGGTAAAATCAAACCTCCTCACCGAGTACCCATGGAGTCCAAGATGGGAAGTAGGGCGCATGGCTGAGCGACTATGGTGAGTCTTTTTTAACTCTTTACTTAGTTGTCTCATTAACTGAACTAATTGTCTCTTTATTTTGATAATATTCATAATACTTACCTTTTTGCAGCGACTTCCTGATCGATGAGGCTGCCAACTTCAAAAAGTATTGTAACGAAGCTCTCCTCCAACATTAGAGTAATTAAACTGAGTTTTGTCTTTGCATCTATGTAAACATTTAGAGTACTTTTCTGCTTCAAGGAAGTTACTTACTGAATAACAATTGGAAGTGTTTACTTCTTGATTTCGAAAAGTTTTTGCTTCGGTTTGTTACTATTCATTCACTTCTGTTTTCTTGTACAAGTCCTCTGCATGTTAGATAAAGAGAGGGAAGGGAATGAGAGGGCTTTTGTGGTATGGAAAAATCTTATTTCCTCTAGAATTAAAGTCCTCTCCGAGTTTATTTGACCGTTAATTTTCTGATTTGAAACACCACCACTTCATCCATACAACCAATTTTCCATAGAGCCAAACATCACAAGAAGATTCTATATACTTATATACGTTTTTAGTCGCTATTTGTTTTCCTTTACATGAATTAAATGGTACGTAATACGAAGAACATCTCCTGAGAAATCAATGTAAGTGTTGATTGAGTCTCTGATATTAGATTCAGTAAGAACCTCTTTAATCTTTGATACTGAACCTTAGATATGAATAGAAATGGTGAATATTTTAATTGGATTGTGTCTTACATCTAAATTACGTTCTATATATCTTGTTTTTATCTTTAAATGAAAATGAAGACTGACGGTCATCAATCATACGCATTATCCTCGATATCAAGACATGATTTAAAAGGAAATTTACAATATCAAATTGGATATTTGTTTTTTCCAAAAATGCTAAGCTGCTAGCGTCTGATATTTTGTTCTAGGAGCTCGAATGTTATCCAAACACTTCATCATCATCAGTCGCAGCTAGTAATGATATTAACTCTATTTTCGTTCACATAACACACACACAAAAAAAGTCATCGAGACTTCATGTCAAATTTCAATAAACTTGATTGCACATATTGTAAAAATCAAAAACCAAACTTAATTCGTAATGAAAATACGATTCAAAAGACAAAAGGATAAGCGATCTGACTACTTTCAACTGCTACAACATACTGAAAGCATTGCATAATTTTGCTTTTATTCTTATAGAACATCAATAGAGAGACAACAAAGCCTCGATCTACTTAGTAGCACTATTGATAGTCTCACGGAGAATTTCCAGCTTTTCCTTGAAGGCAAGTAACTCCTCCAAGTTCATATCTGCAATCTCTTTGACCTCATGTTTTTTGAACAACTCTTCTTCCCTCTTCTTCAGAACCTAGAATTTGTAAAAAGAAAAATAAATATTTTGAACAGAAAAAAATAGAAAAAATGATATATAAAAGTACTGTTACCTTTGCCCGCTCCTTCTCTTCTGCCAGCTCTTTCGTGATACGATCGAGTGTGGCTTGATTTTGGCGAATCCTAGCCTGACTAGCATTTCGATAACGCCTAGACACAGTGTTGAAGCCCGGAGTTTTGTACACATACGGTTGTCCAGCTGGAGATTCGAGCCAAAGGGCCAATTCAACGTTTTCTTGTCTCGCAAGTGCATCAGCTTCTTCGATCACACCACGTAGGCAGTTGGTGAAAGTTGCTTGTGCGTTGTTAGTCTTTCTACCAGCCATTTTGTTTATCTTTAGATTTTCTTTTTGTTATGTTGTTCTTGTTACTACTACTCTACTGTCTACACCATTTTATAGGTGGATGCATGGGGTCAAGTAGGTTAAACCCATTAATGTTATTTTCTATATTGTATTGACTTATTTCTTTAGCCAAATATTTCAAATTTAATTATTCCACACATTCTTAAATTATATAATTATAAATTTGACAATTTTATATAAAAAAAATTCCAGTGAAGGTTACTTTATGAGAACAATAACTACGAAATAATTCATTAGCCATATGTTTTTTTAGAAAACAACTAATTTGTGATGATTTAACGTCGATTTAAAGAAAATAATACCACAAATTCAACTTTTGTAGTTATCTTAAAATTTATTACATCGTTGAAGATAAATGAATGTTGGAAGTTACTTAGATTTGTTTCCTTACCTCTAGATATCTTTCTATATGTATCTTGTTTCTATCAAAAACAAATTAAACATGCGTCAATCATGCACATTAGCCACGTATATAATACACTATTGGTTGTTCTTATCTTAATTTCTAACAACAATTACTTAGATTTGTTTCCTTATATAAAAAAAGTTCAGTGAAGGTTACTTTATGAGAACAATAATTATGAAATAATTCATTAGCCATATGTTTTTTTAGAAAACAACTAATTTGTGATGAATTAACGTCGATTTAAAGAAAATAATAACACAAATTCAACTTTTTGTACTTATTTTAAAATTTATTACGTCGTTGAAGAAAAATGAATGTTGGAAGTTACTTAGATTTGTTTCTTACCTCTAGATATCTTTCTATATGTATCTTGCTTCTATCAAAAATAAATTAAACATGAGTCAATCATGCACATTAGCCATGTATATAAATACACTATTGGTTGTTCTTATCTTAATTTCTAACAACAATTATAGTTGATCGTTTACGACGGTTACTATTTATTTTTTTCTTCATATAAATTTATAAATTTTGTTTTTATTTTAGATTTGTTTCCTTACCTCTAGATATGTTTCTAAATGTATCTTGTTGCTATCAAAAACAAATTAACAGGCGTCAATCATGCACATTAGCCACGTATATAAACAAACTAGTGATTGTTATTATCTTAATTTCTAAAAAATAAATATAGTTGACTTTTTAAGGACGGTTAGCAGGCCCGACTCAGTTCAAAGCTAGGTCATGTTCCAGCCCAATTTATTTTTCCCACGTATACTTACATTTTTTTTTTTGGCAGCTCCCACATATACTTACATTTATACTAATTTTCATAAATTTAGGCCTTATTTTGTAATTTTCCCGAAATATTAGGCCATATTTAAAAAAAAAAACTGAAATATTACTATTTCCAAAATATTGGGCTCTATTTTGTAAATATATTAAATAATTAGGCCTAAAATACAAAAAATAAATTGATAAAAATCAAATGGGCCCTGTGACAAATTCCAGATGACACACCCTACAAATCGGGCGTCACGGTTAGTATTTGTATTTTTCTTCATCTAAATTTATATATTTTGTTTTTATCTTTAAATGAAAATAAGCACACATCAATCATGCACTTTAAACCATACTGTATTATTTCAAAAAAACAAAATACAGTATCAATCAAAATAATTTTCTTACTTTTCCAAAAAATTACTAATTAATTTGAAATTTTTTAAAATCATATCTTTGTTGAGAGTTGAGACATGAAGTGGTCAAATTCTTCAACAGTAGAGGTGTCCTTCAACCTAAAAGAAGTTACACATTATATTATATAAGGTGGTTTCCCGCACCTTGTGCGGGTACAATATTTTTTAAATACAATTATTAATTAAAGATTTAAATAATATAAGTAGTACAACTTTTTATTGTATTCATCGTTTTTGTTTTCGCAAACTTCTTATTTTTGTAATCTTGAGGTGTCTTATTTTTATCTTCTCTTTCTTGTTCTTCTACGTAATATTCTTCATTTGTTTTGGAATTTTCTTCACATTCCATTATTTCTTCTTTCCTTTCTTTTTCCTCATGTTCGACTTTTCTTTTTCTTTTCTAAATTTTTCATCTTCTTTTTCACTGTTTTCTTTTCTTTTACTTATGTATCTATTATGTCTTGTTTGTGTCTTGCATATCACCTACCAATTCATTTCGATAGTTAAAATTTTCAATATTTTTGAAATAGATTCTATCTTTATATAGTTGAAGTCTTTTAAAAATTTATTAGTTTTGTTATCTTTCAATTCTGGATTTTCTTTAGTTGTTTTAGTTTTTTTTTCTATTTGTGAATGTAATTTTGAAAGTAGATATAAATTTCAAATAAATGATTTTTTTATTATGAAATTCTTCTGTAATAATTCAAGTTTTTTTAAAATACACCAAAAACTAAACCCTACCCCATCAATATAAACCCTACACCCTAAACCCAAACCCACAGTGTAACACCACCCCCTAAATAACCCAAACACCACATTATTAATGATTAAGCAAATATTATGGATATTAAAAAAAAAATCGTTATAGATTCGCCATTAGAATTAGGGTTTCATGAATATTAAGATGGTAATTAAAAGGATAGATGTTCATACCTTCTTTTGCTGGAGTTGAATATTTCTCGCTTGGGACCAAATCTGATCTTCTAGATTCCATTAGCTTGGAACTCACTGTTACAAAAGCGAGAGAAGAAGAAGTTAGAAGCGTATATGTAGATGATTGACAGTAGATAACAAATAATCAGTTAATCATTACAGTAAATAGAACTTAAATCAAAGTGAAACAATAAAGATACATGAGAAGAAGAAATATGAGACCTAAGAAGTAAGATTACGTATAGAAAGAAGATATGCAAATCGTAATGAGAATTGGGTTGATTTTGCTTGTAGCTATAACTATATATAAGACAGAGTCGGCTAACAAACCTAGGTTTTCCAATTTTTAATTCTTTACAATTTTTTTAATTTCTTCCATATATGTGGCGCGAAAATATGTTAGTTATACGGTATATATCCAAAAATAATTTAGGAAGAAAGCAAAATTCGTTATCCATCGTCCAATAAAATAAATTCGTTTTTAAATAAGATAATAAGCAAATTGAAAGATTTATTCAAGATTTTCATTAAGGGTAGTTATGTAATTCCGAGGCTGAGAGTTAACGTGGTGCTCCATTCACGAAAATTGATTTGCAAATACTAATATGATAACATGGAGAAAACACGCAGAAGATTAAAAAAGAAAATATTGGGAAGATTATACACCAAACATGTTAGGGAAAATAGATAAAAATTACACATCATATTTTGATTAAATTTGAAAAAAAAGAAAAAAAAAATCTGTAAATTCATTAGACTTTCTAAAAAAATATACATAAATATACAGTAGTAACAGACTAACAGTACATATTAAATTTAGTTCCCATAGAAGTAGGCTTTAGGACATGAACCTCAACAGAAGAGTCAGATAAAACTTGGGCTGATAAAATAGTGTTAGCAGGCCCAATTATGATCTAAAGCTAGCTGACAAACGCCAAACGCCGAACGCTAGATAGAATGCAAACGCTAAACGCAAAGTAGAGAAAGGCAACCAATCCACCTCCGATATCCAACCAAGCTCCGCCGCACTCTTCACCGCCACCTACGCGACTAAACCGATTTAATTTACGTATTAGACAAAATTGAAAATTGTAAACAGAGTTTAGTTTACTGTTTACCACTCAAAAATGAAAAAGTCATAAACCCTAAACGACCAAACCTTCTACTCAACCGAAACAACACTCCGATGGAAGCTCTAGGTCACGTCGGCATTGGCCTCCTCCCGTTCCAAATATGCCGATTACCACCTATTTACTGTGTGGCTAAATTGACGTGTTTGCTTTGATCAATTGACGGTTTAGGGATCAGTATGAGATATACCAAAGAAGGCGTAGTTTGAGATTAGCACCGAGGTATCATGCATTTCAATTTTTTTTTTAACATCAGGAATCAGAATCAGGTCTATCCTGTCTTCATGCTGCTTTGTAGATTATGTTTGGAGATATATTGCTTGAGTAGCTAAGGCTTGTTAGAGCATGTAGATTCTGTTTCTCGTGGCATGTGAATTGATAGGCTTGGAAACATGATACGGTTGAAATTTGAAAAGTGATTTGCTTTTGGTTTGGAACTTTTTGCCCAAGAACAACTCTCTAGACGCCATTTAGTTAGAACATCTCCTCATTCTCAATGTTGATGTTGTTCTTATTCTCTCACTCTCAGGGAATTGTAATGCAAAATGACTTCAGGAGTTGACAAGGTATTTATCGTGTCAAGATTCTTTGATCATTTCTCTGTGAAATCACCGTGTTGTATGCACAGCCCCGGCTCTAAGCCATGGCGAGAGGTGCGACCGCCATGGGCTCGAGGTCCAATTTTTTATTCTTCTCTTAGTGTTTGTAATTAAAATACTTTTAAAACCCAATTAATTGTCTAAAAAGGGCTCATAATATATAAAATTATAAAGTAAAACGCCCATAATCTATCACCCAGTTTAACCCTAGATAAAGAAGCTATTTTGTATTTTAATATCACAGATTTGTTTATTTTTATTGATATATTTGATTTAATATTAAAATTAATTTATTTTAGAAAAATGTCCATATTTTGAATTTCGCCTAAGGTTCTCAAAATAATAGAGCCCGGGCTGTGTATGCATTTGACTTTTTCCCAATACCTTTCGTTTTTAGTGTAGCCAGAGGAAGTAAAGTTTGCAGTACCTCTTGTGATGGATATATGGGCATAAACAAACTGGTTGCTGGGTGCCCTTGGAAGCATGAGCAGAAGATTTATCTCCAGGTTCTCTCTTCCTTCCTTATAATAAGTCTCTTTTATTATCCTAATCCTTCACTCTTCTTGATAAACTGGTTATGAATCAGTACCTGCAGCACCGCGTCTGAAATTAGTATCATCTTCTGATTTAAAAGCGCTCTTCTCTGTTGAGGATGATGTTAAACTTCCTCCATGGATGGATGGGATGTAAGTTACACACAATTCACTCCAATGACTGTATTAATCTCTATATTGACAAACCTGTAAATTTTCTCTATTTCGAAGGTGCTTGGCTGAATATCTTCCCCATCTCGAAGAAACCCTTGAGAGACAGGTCAGTTTCAACTAAATATTTTATTTACACTGTTATTTTTTTTTTATTACGCTGAGATATATTCTTCAACAAAGACATGTGAAAACTTATTAGTATTAAAAATTTAGTATTTTTATAGAAAAGAAAAATTCAGCCGAGATATGTTATCAGAACAATAATTATGAAATAATTCACTCTACATATATCTGAATAAAATAACACCACTCTTTTAAAAATAATTTACATCTATCTTAGAACTTAATACAAGTTGAAGAAGATAGAAATGGTGAATATTTTAATTGGGTTGTGTCTTACCTCTAGATTACGTTCTATATATCTTGTTTTTATCTTTAAATGAAATCTGACGGTCATCAATCATGCATGCGCATTATCTTCGATATCAACACATGATTTAAAGGAAATTTACAATATCAAATAGGATATTTGAAAATACTAAGCTTCCTAGCGGCTGATATTTTTTTCGAGGCGCTCCAATATTATCCAAGCACTTCATCATATCATCAGTTGTAGCTAAGTAATGATATTGACTCTAAATTCGTTTACACAACACACAAAAATATCATTGAGACTTCATGCCAAATTTCAATAAACTTGATGGCACATATTATAAATATCAAAAACCAAACTTAATTCATTATGAAAATACGATTACAGGGACGAAATGATGACAGATCTGACTAGTTTCAACTGCTACAACATACTGAAAGTATTGCATAATTTTGTTTTATTCTTATAGAACATCAATAGAGAGACAACAAAGCCTCGATCTACTTAGTAATACTATTGATAGTCTCGCGGAGAGTTTCCAGCTTTTCCTTGAAGGCAAGTAACTCCTCCAAGTTCATATCTGCAACCTTTTTGATCTCATATTTTTTAAACAGCTCTTCTTCCCTCTTCTTCAGAACCTAGAATTTGTAAAAATAAAAATAAATAATTTGAACAGAAAAAAAAAATAAAAATGATATATAAAAGCACCATTACCTTTGCCCGCTCTTTCTCTTCTGCGAGCTCTTTAGTGATACGATCGAGTGTGGCTTGATATTTGCAAATCCTAGCCTGACTAGCATTTCGATAACGCCTAGACACTGTGTTGAAAGTCTTTCTACCAGCCATTTTTTTTTTTATCTCTAGATCTATCTCTTTGTTACGTTATGGTGTTCTTGTTACTACTACTCTACAGCCTACACCATTTTATAGGTGGATGCATGGGGTCAAGTCGGTTAAACCTATTAATGTTATTTTCTTTATTGTATTGACTTATTTCTTTAGCCAAATATTTTAAATTTAATTATTCCACATATTCTTAAATTATATAATTATAAATTTGGCAATTTTATATAAAAAAAGTTCAGTGAAGGTTACTTTATGAGAACAATATTTATGAAATAATTCATTTAACATATTTTTGTTTTAGAAAACAACTAATTTGTGATGAATTAACATCGAATTTAAAGAAAATAATACTACACATTCAACTTTTTGTACTTATCTTAAAATTTATTAGGTCGTTGAAGAAAATTGAATGTTGGAAGTTTCTTAGATTCGTTTCCTTACCTCTAGATATCTTTCTATATGTATCTTATTTATATCAAAAACAAATCAAACACGAGTCAATCATGCACATTAGCCATATATATAAATACACTATTGGTTGTTCTTATCTTAATTTCTAACAACAAATATAGTTGACTGTTTACGACGGTTACTATTTGTTTTTATTTTAGATTCGTTTAATATCTCTAGATATCTTTCTGTATGTATCTTGTTGCTATCCATTAGCCACGTATATAAACAAACTAGTGAATGTTAAAATCTTAATTTCTAACAAATAAATATAGTTGATTGTTTAAGGACGATTAGCAGGCCCGACTCAGTTCAAAACTAGGCCATGTTCCAGCCCAATTTATTTTTTTCCCACGTAAACTTACATTTATACTAATTTTCATAAATTTAGGCATTATTTTGCAATTTTCCCAAAATATTAGGCTCTATTACCAAAATATTAGGCTCTAGCTATTTTGTAAATATATAAAATAATTAGGCCCTCAAATACAAAAATTGATAAAAATCAAATGGTCCCTGTGACAGATTCCAGATGACACAACCTACAAACCGAGCATGACAATTTGTATTTGTATTTCTTCATCTAATTTTTTTTTTAATCTTTGAATAACAATAAGCACACGTCAATCATGCACTTTAACCATAATGTATTATTTCAAAAAAACAAAATATATCAATCAAAATAATTTTATTACTTTTCCAAAAAATTACTAATTAATTTTAACATTTTGATAATTATATCATACTATTGCCTTTGTTGAGAGTTTAGACATGAAGTGGAGAAGTTAAAGAAGTATCCTTCAACCTAAAAGAAGTTACATGTTGTATTATATAACATGGAGAAAACACGCAGAAGATTAACAAATGAAAATATTGTGAAGATTATACACCAAACATGTTAGGGAAAATAGATAAAAATTACACATCATATTTTGATTAAATTTTTACAAAAAAGAAAATTCTGTGTAAATTCATTAGACTTTCTAAAAAAAATATACATATACAGCAGTAGTAAACAGTACATATTAAATTTAGTTGCCATAGAAATGGGCTTTAGGATATGTACCTCAACAGAAGAGTCAGATAAAACTTGGGCTGATAAAATAGTGTTAGCAGGCTCAATTTTGATCTAAAGCTAGCTGACAAACGCCGAACGCCAAACGCTAGATAGAATGCAAACGCTAAACGCAAAGAAGAGAAAGGCAACCGATCCACCTCCGATATCCAACCAAAGCTCTGCCGCACTCTTCACCGCCACCGCTACGCGACCAAACCGATTTAATTTACGTATTAAACAAAATTGAAAATTGTAAACAGAGTTTAGTAACAGTTTACTGTTTACCACTCAAAAATGAAAATGTCATAAACCCTAAACGACCAAACCTTCTACTCAACCAAAACAACACTCCGATGGAAGCTCTAGGTCACGTCGGCATTGGCCTCCTCCCGTTCCAAATATGCCGATTACCACCGGCGACGAAGCTCCGGCGTAGCCACCAAACCTCCTCACCCACCACCATTCTCTGTTCCGCCAGCAGATGGGCTGATCGTCTTCTCTCTGACTTCAATTTCACCACCGATTCTTCCTCCTCCTCCTCCGTCGCCACCGCCACTCTCATCTCTCCGCCACCATCAATTGATCGTCCAGAGCGCCACGTTCCCATTCCCATCGATTTCTACCAGGTTTTTGCTCATTTCCTTACAAATTCCTTTTCGGTTGTTTTGTTATGTAAATCTGATTCGTGCCCATTTTCGTTGAATTTGAAGGTATTGGGAGCTCAGACGCATTTCTTAACTGATGGAATCAGAAGAGCATTCGAAGCTAAGGTTTCGAAACCGCCTCAATTCGGTTTCAGCGACGACGCTTTAATCAGCAGAAGACAGATTCTACAAGCTGCTTGTGAAACTCTGTCGAATCCTCGGTTTAGAAGAGAGTACAATGAGAGTCTTCTTGATGATGAAGAAGCTACTGTCATCACTGATGTACCTTGGGAAAAGGTAAAAAAGTTTTTAAATTGGAGAAAGTATAGAACTTTATGATGTTCTTGGTAATCTTGAATCTCAAAATTGGTGAAAGTGTAAAACTTTTTTCATGAAGGTTCCTGGTGCTCTCTGTGTATTGCAAGAAGCTGGTGAGACTGAGATCGTCCTTCGGGTAGGAGAAGCCTTGCTCAAGGAGAGGTTGCCTAAGTCGTTCAAGCAAGATGTGGTTTTAGTTATGGCGCTTGCGTTTGTGGACATTTCGAGGGATGCAATGGCACTGGATCCACCTGATTTTATAACCGGTTATGAGTTTGTTGAAGAAGCTCTGAAGCTCTTGCAGGTAATTTTGACTTGGACGCGTTGGTTTTTATAGGCTTTATAATGAGAAGTCTCTTGATTTTGATACGTTGTTGTTGAGTACTGTGCAGGAGGAAGGAGCAAGCAGCCTTGCACCTGATTTACGTGCACAGATTGATGAGACTTTGGAAGAGATCACTCCGCGTTATGTCTTGGAGCTTCTTGGCTTACCGCTTGGTGATGAGTACGCAGGGAAAAGAAAAGATGGTTTAAGCGGTGTACGCAATATCTTGTGGTCTGTTGGAGGAGGTGGAGCATCAGCTGTTGTTGGTGGTTTAACACGTGAGAAATTCATGAACGAGGCGTTTTTACGAATGACAGCAGCTGAGCAGGTGTCAAATCTAGATCTCTTTACTTATTGCTTTATCATGGTTAAACCTTTGGTTCCTCGTTCTAATTTATGTCCTTGTGTTGTAGGTTGATCTTTTTGTAGCTACACCGAGTAATATTCCAGCTGAGTCATTTGAAGTTTACGAAGTAGCACTTGCGCTGGTGGCTCAAGCTTTTATAGGTAAGAAGCCCCACCTTTTACAGGATGCTGATAAGCAATTCCAGCAACTTCAGCAGGCTAAGGTAATGGCTATGGAGATTCCTGCAATGTTGTATGATCAACGGAACAATTGGGAGATAGACTTCGGTCTAGAAAGGGGCCTCTGTGCACTGCTTGTAGGAAAAGTTGACGAATGCCGTACCTGGTTGGGGTTAGACAGTGAGGAGTCACAGTTTAGGAATCCAGCTATTGTGGAGTTCGTCTTGGAGAATTCAAGTCGTGATGATGATCTTCCTGGGCTCTGCAAACTGTTGGAAACCTGGTTGGCTGGAGTTGTCTTTCCTAGATTCAGAGACACCAAAGATAAACACTTTAAACTTGGGGATTATTATGATGATCCCATGGTTTTGAGTTACTTGGAAAGAGTAGAGGTAGTTCAGGGCTCTCCTTTAGCTGCCGCTGCGGCTATGGCGAGGATGGGAGCTGAGCATGTGAAGGCTAGTGCTCTGCAAGCACTGCAGAAAGTCTTTCCTTCTCGCTATGCAGATGGAGTCTCAACTGAAGCCAAGGATGCGCAAGAGACCGTGTTTACCGTAGATCCTGTTGGTAACAATGTAGGCCGTGATGGTGAGACTGGTGTCTCTATTGCAGATGCTGTAAGATCCTCTGACAACTTTGATGCAAATGATTATGCAATTCGAGCTGGGGTCTCAAAGAGTAGCATTGATGACGTTACTGTTGAAAAGTCCACTGCTGATAAGGTAAAAGAGGCGAGTGTCAAGATCCTCTCTGCTGGTGTGGTTATAGGAATGATTTCGCTGGGACTTAGGTATATTCCTCTTAAAGGCAACTCATCTTTTCAACGCAAGGATATGGCTTCTTCTACGGCATCTGATGTTGCTACCATAGGTATTATTAAATGATGCAATTTTTTTATACAAGTTCGTTGCTCTAAATAAGCGTGTTTTGTGAGCTTAGAATATAGTTCGCTAGATGTTTGACAATTTCCTACTCAAGTCAAAAGATTCTAGTTCCTCAATAGGAAGGAAAGTAGTTCATTTGTGATAAATATCCCAGAAGTTATCCCGAGTATTTGGAAGCAAGGTTTACAAGTTGCTGAGTAGATTTCACTTCTCAACATGTACATATGCTGCTTGAATCTTTTTATCAAACTGTAGACAGGATAGCGTATTTGACATTTCTGGTTAGATTAGAATGCTCTGTTGAACTTTTCTTTCATGGATTTCTTGTAGGGTCAGTGAAAGCTGAGGATTCAGAAAAACTTCCTAGAATGGATGCTAGGACTGCAGAGAGTCTAGTCTACAAGTGGCAGAAGATAAAGTCTCAGGCTTTTGGGCGTGATCACTGCATAGAAATGTTGCCAGAGGTAATAAAAAGCCACAATAACCAGTTGTCTGAAAACAGTGATCCGATTGTAGTAGTTGGAACAATGTTTGGTGCCTTTCATAATTCTTGGTAATTTAATAGGTTTTGGATGGGAGAATGCTGAAGATCTGGACAGACAGAGCAGCTGAAACTGCGCAGCTCGGGTTGGTCTATGATTATACACTGTTGAAACTATCCGTTGACAGTGTGACTGTCTCAGCAGACGGAACCCGCGCTCTGGTGGAAGCAACTCTGGAGGAGTCTGCTTGTCTGTCTGATTTGGTTCATCCAGAAAACAATGCTACAGATGTCAGAACCTACACAACAAGATACGAAGTTTTCTGGTCCAAGTCAGGATGGAAAATCACTGAAGGCTCTGTTCTTACATCATAGTATCCTCATATGTAACATGCCTGAGCTTGCAATATTCTCTGTGTTTTGTAAATTCTCCCTCAACACTAAGTTAGTGTTTATATATGAACACGAAAATATTCAAGTTCTTGCCAGTCCCTCATCCTTGGTCATATCATAATATAAGTGCTACATTTCGAGATTCCAATCAGGTACAAATTATGTGTAGAACTTTGCTTATCTCACATGTAAGCCTTTCTCGATTTTAAGATCAGTTTGGACCCTGGTTTAAGGAAGCAACGGTAGAGCAGGAGCTGTCAACGTTCTCTGGTTATAATCCGGTCAAGCGTATGTTAGAGAAAGATTTGGTAAATCTCCAGCCAGATGATTTTACGTTCTCGGTTCTAGATAGCAAGCTGAGGCCAAACATTTCCTTTGACATCCGACTTGGTTCAACAAATCCAAGCAGCTTAGCCACAAGAGACGCACTCTCTTTTATGTGTTCCATGTCTTGTGTGTTGGTCCACAGGTTGTTCGCTATCTGCAGGCTTCTCTGCTTTGATTTCACCTCCACACTCCATTTTTGGTAAAGTTCTATTCTCTGGTTCACTGGAAATTTCTTTGGTATTTGTTTGCAAAGCCATTCCCTCTCGCGTACGAGTGCCTTCACTGTTTGTATCCTGATTAGATACCAAAGGAACTGGTTAGCATAATACTTATTGATTGATATTGATGAGAATCGTCGAAAAAAGTGTTCTAGGAAAAAAAAACCTTGACGTTTCCGTGTCATTAGATATTGTCTGCTTCAGAAAAGATAGCCTTCTGAGTTCAACTTCCATGTAAACATAGTCGGAAGGATCACCTTTGAAGAGCAAGAAGAAGTAGGTTCTGTGAACCAGTGGTACATTGCATACTGACCAAAGCTCAATTATTTGCCTTTGTTGGTTCGCAAAGTCTAGAGAACAGCTTGAATATTGTTCATTAGCAACCTGTAGTTTCTCTGGGAAAGCCTCCGTGGAACTTGTTTCGTTAGGTACTGCTTCTTCTACCTGCAATTTCTGATCATCAAAACTGTTGAGTTATCTCCCCAAGAATGAGGTAAAAAGGAAGAAAAAAGTTCAGCTTACCGAATCACTGGCCTGCTCTCTCTCTGACTGATCACTGATGGTAACTGTGCTTTCTTCATTTTCATTTTGAAGATTTGGCAATGCATTTGTGTCCCCTCTGATGCTATTTGCAGGGCTTTCCGGCTTGATCTCCATTCCTTCGGTTGTTATGGGGGCAAATGAAAACCCGTAATCGAGCTCAGGTGTGGAGTCAACTGAGTGGTGCTGCCTTGCCATTTCTTCAAGCCCTGCTACGAATTCTTGGAAACTGTTGGCCCTTTCCAAATCAGAATCCTTAAGGCCATGCTCATCAATGGGTGTAGAACTCATCGAGCTCCCTGAATCAAAGGAAATGCTCGTCGTGTTAGGTGTCTTGCTTATGGGTCTTTCAGGAGCCGCGTCTAGTGTCCAGGAAGGTGACGTATAGCTACTAGTGTCCACATTCTCAAACCAGTGAGGAGATCTATTCTCTCTGCAACTTCTGCTTCTTTTTGTAGTGAAAAGTTCAGGACTCTTGTAATCTCTTCTGAAGGAAGGTGACTGTTGTTGTTCTGCTGTGTGCATATTCATAAGGTACTCAATCTTCTTCTGCATCTCCTTAACCTTTTCTTTTAAAGCAATGTAAGTCTTGTTGTCAACATGATCTGTCCCAATATTGTTCCAGGTAGATGATGATTCCTCATAATCTTTATCAGCGTCTTGCTCTTGATGTTGTTTGTTGTCCCACTTCTCTTCAGATATCAAGTCCACTTGGACTGTCTCTTCAGATTGCTCCTTTGTAGGGAGTGAACTCAATTCCCTGTCTTCCTTTGATTGCCGTTCTGACTGAGCATTGCCTTCTTTCTTTAACCATTGCTCAACTTGCGTTGTGAAAGGACTCATTTTCCTTTCTTCTTTCTTCATCTGTTCTTCTTCCTTGACAGATTCTTGAGCTTCAACTGATTGGCTCATGTCTAAATCGGAATTATTTAAAGTTAGCTCAGAGGTTTCAGGCTCTACATCTATTGTTCTCAAGGGTAAGCCAACGTTTTCCTTTTCTTCAGGCTCGCTAATCTCCATGTTTTCGCTCTTGGCTTTCTCGTCACCTACAAAGGAGTTATAGCTTTGTTCGTATTTCGTAGCTGATAAGTTTTCTTCCTTTCTTGGTGAGAGTACCTCTAACACAGCTTTCTTATCAACGATGTCCTCTGCTGCACCATAGCTTTCGACTGTTGCTGCTTCTCCATGAATCTCCTCACCTTCAGTTTCAATGCATCTAACTTCTTTGCATGCATCTTCTTGTTTTTGGTCTGTTTTTTTAACCATTTCCTCCCAGGCATCGTACAGGTTTTGCCTCGAGAACTGAGGGGTGTTATCATCCAGCAAGAAGTCATCTTCTTCTGGATTTTCCAAAAACTCCAAGTTCCTCTCGGTCAAGTTGTTAATGATACTTGGCTCACCAAGATCTATTGAATCATAGCTTCTTCTTCGATCTGCATTAAAATCCATGGAGCTTAACATGGAACGCTCATCCATCCTAGAAGACCTCTCATCCGCTGTTGATTTAAGTAAGTTCTCCACCCGGGACTGAGCTACATCACGCTGCCATTTCAACTCTCTCATTTGTTCTTCCATCTGCAAGTTTCAACAAAATGAGTAATGGAAAAAAAGAAGAGCAATGTAACAAGAAAGTGAAACCCACTTTTGCAATCACTTCCTCTTTCTCTTTTAGCAACAAAAAGAAGTCAGAGCCTGCAGAAGTAACAGATCCTAGATTCTTCAACTCATTCTCCATTCGAGCAAGTTCTTGCTGGAGTTGCTTCACCAAAGCCTTCTCAGACACGACCATATTGACCTGAGCATTTGTTGTCACCTCTTTAGCGCAGATTGCAAAGAGGAGTGTGTTTCTCGACTGTTCAACATGGCTACGAGCAGGGCTCATCGTGCATATGATGGCTGTTCTCGCGTTTCCTCCCAAAGAGTTCTGAAGGATACGAGTTAGCTTCGAGTCTCGGTACGGTATGTGCCCGTTTCTTCCTCCTTTACTGCACTTCAAAATAGTTTACACTACTCGTTAAACCACCTCTCTTTGGTAGAAGAGGATCTTTGAAATAAGCCACGAAAGCGAACGAACCTTAGTTTCCGGATGACAGTTCCAAGAGTGAGTAAACTCCGGTTTATATGACAACCTTCTTTCAATCTTGCACCAGCAGATAAAGTCTGAGAAGCTCGTTCACTTCCAGCTAGATCAACAAAGCACTTGAGAAGCAGAGAATCAAGAAACACTCGTGTGTCAGAGAAAGAATGACAAGATTTCAAACAGTATAAAGAACAGTTTCATTATAATTGTATCATACCACGGATGCTGCAAGAATGCTGGAGTTTTCAGGAGAGTATTCTCGACCCGTGCTTTCAATTGTCTGCAAGAAATGCATTTAGCGATCAAGAACGAAAGAAAGCAAGATTCAAAGAAGAAAAGGATGGTTTAGTTTAGATTACCAGCCGGAGAATCTGATGTGATCTGGAGCTAGTTTCATTCAAGGAGGTTTCTCCAATCTTCCTTTGAGCTGCAACAACAACAAGACATGTACATAAGTTAAACATTCAACTTATCCTCAACTGAAAAAAATTTACAAGCCTTTGAGAATTACTTACTCTCACAGACTGAAAGAAGTTCCTCTAGATGGGATCTGTCTCTTAGTGTCTCCTCGATAAGTTTCTCAACGACAGTTCCTCTCTAATGAAGCAAGCAAATGTAAAAGGAGTGAGTCTAACACAATATGAGAGAGTGTATAGCATAATATCTATCCAAAAGCAAGTGATGTAACTAACCTCTGGATCATCAAGAAGCCTTAGTTGATTGTTATACTCACTAAGGAGATCTCTCACAGCTTCATTGTAGATCTCGATTGCAGAGAATTTGAGAGTGAATTCGCGTTCTTTATGCTGAAAAAAAACGAAACAAGAAAGTGTTGGTTTGGTACTTATGAAGGGGAAAGATGTCAATATGGTCAGGTTTTCTTCTTGAAAACCTTTTCAATGTAAGAAAAAATGTCGTCTATTGCGAATTCAGTGATGCCACTCATTGTGTATGTCTTCCCACTGCTCGTTTGTCCATACGCAAAGATGCTTGCTGCAAAAAAAAACCATTTACTTTGTCAAAGTCAAAATACATTGTCACAAAAGACAAAACATTACAGAAACATTAAGTTTGTTCTTTGTTACAATTGATTCCGTCGAGTACACAAAGAGCAACCTCCTTAGCTCCATCTTCATAGACTTGTTTCGTGTGGGAATCGAATCCAAACACTTTGTCTGCAAAATGTTTTTACAAAACATGTTTTCTTTAGCATCATTAATTCATACCAAATGCAACTTTTAATCATTTTTTGAAACATCTTACGTACCAAATGTGTAGGTGAAAGGAAAGAGAGATCTCTCAGGCAAATTATTATTGCAGATTATTGTTGTGTTGTTGACACATTCCCAATCGCAGATATCATTCCTCGTCTTCTCTTTCTCGTTCCGTGGCCTTACTCTTACCGAAACCAATATCTTCTCTCCTTTTCCGGCCATTTTTTCTTGACAAAGAAAACACTTCTTTTTTGTGGATTATATATAGGAATACATTTTCTACATCAATCTACCGATTTCTAACCCTCTTTTTCTTGAATACATTCCCACCGGAAATGCAACAATTGGAGTCCTTTTCTTGTGAGGGTGGGAGAGAGAAATGTTAAGATTGTGAAGAAAATGGATTCAAGAAAAAGATTTGGATGGAAGAGGAGAGATATTAGAAGGCAGTAACGAAAAGAATCTGTAATTAGAATAAGGAGTCTAGAAAAAAATGCTAAAATGGGTGAAAAATGCTTATTGGAGGGGTTTCTTCTTCCTCAAACAAACATCTATATATTCTCTAGAACCTAAAATAAGAATGTGGACAGATGTATCCATTTTATTACTTGGATAATGGTACAAATCTATGACCTGTTTCAAGTTCTAACAAAAATGCCTAAGAAGATAAAAAAATATAGAAAAGCCAAATGGTATCCAGTCACCAAGTTTCTTGTAATATGGTGTTGGCTCAATTTTACAAAAGAGCTAGTTTGAACCTAGCATAAACAAAATGGTCTAATCAAAATATTGAAGAACATTTTATACATGACCTTGTCAAAACATAACTTAGAATATTGATGGCACTTACCAAGAACAGAAAACCTCTATGCCTCAAGAAAAATTGTGTTCACACAAATTGATAGACAACACAAGTGTATAAACAAACTAATAAAGAAAAAACAATCTTTTGAAAATCTGAGTGGTCTAATCAAAATGTTGAAGAACATTTTATCCATGACCTTGTTAAAACACAACTTAGAGTATTGGTGGCACTTACCAAGAACAGAAAACCTCTATGCTTCAAGAAAAATTGTGTTCACACAAATTGATAGACAACACAAGTGTATAAACAAACTAATAAAGAAAAAAACAATCTTTTTGAAAATTTGAAAATCGTCTTTTCACTTGAATTTTTTTGTTTCTTAAAAACAGTCTTATATTTTGCTTAGATTTTGTTTATATTTTGCTTATGTTTTTCTTTCTTTTTAACAACTGTTTTTTTCTTATATCATATTGATATATAGAGTTATATAACATATTGATATATAGAGTTATACGGAAAATGTTTATAATTAAAATCATACAAAAATTATTAATGTGTTTGATAATATGTGAAATATTATATTGATCTTTTAAAATAAATATCATTAATTAGATCATGAACTAACAACATGAGAAATGTAGGAAATCTCAACTTTGAATTTGGGTAATTGTTGGACCAGTACTTGCAAATTTAATCCATATTTTTTTCCATAATCGTTGGATCAATACTTGCAAGTTTTTTCAATATACATAAAAATGTTTTATTAGTTTTTCCTTGTTAAAACTATCAAGAGATTGAAACTCATTGCGATCATGAAGAAGATATATGGATAGCAAAGAAGATGGATTGGCCACGGTTTACACATGTATTTCCTGTGTAAAAGGCCAGTTTTTTTACCAACCACTATTCAGTATTCACCATACCATTGAGAAGGTAATATACTTTATAAGCGACATCAAGAGTCAGGTAAAGATGGAACCAAAAGCTTTTTAGCAGTTTCGACTTGTACAATGGTGTTTTGATCCGCTATCTTCTACCATCATTTGCCTATTTGGAAAACGAATTAGAGTTTACCTACTACATAACCAGAGAGGCAGAGACCCATTAATTCCTAGAATGTACCAAGATTTCTTGGAGGAGATCGAGCATACGGGTATGTTGAGGTGCAACAGGCTTCCACATTAGGGTAGTAAATTTACAATAGTAACATTACATTTATCAATGCCATTGAAAAGTAGAAGGACGCCGCACTATTCTTGGAGGTGAATCAAATGTTTAATTACTATTGGTTAAATTTTTTAAATTAATGTTAACAAACTACACATTTTAAAAATATTAATTAAAAGTATATGAATTCTTGAATAGCTATTGGTAAATATTTATTAAAAACTAGTTAATGACACATTAATAATTTAATATTAAAATTTTATTAATTTATGTGAAAAACTCAAAACATCATTATTTGATGAACAACAGAGTATTTTATATAAAGTATTTAATAAAAAAAAACTAACAAGATAAAAAGGAAGTTATAGACTTATAGTGTGTGATCATAAAAAAAAAATACTAGTAGAGAAACTACAATCAATAAAACTGAAAAACCATGAAATTTATAAAACAACTGAAATAAAATATCGGCTAGAATATGAGGGGAAAACGGCCATATATTGTAGAATTAACCATATCATATGTTTATTTATTTTTGCAGAATTAAATTTATCATATTTTGGAAAAACGGTCAGTTCCTACTGTTATATTTAAGGCATATGGTAAATTTGGTAAGTTAATGGTAAATCCAGTACATGTAGTATTACCCAAAATACTTTGTTATGCAGACTGAAAAGAGAGAAGAAAGAAAAAGGAAGGAAAATATCAAAAGTTTCAAAGATAATCAAAAATCAAAATCCTCCTCTGGTGTAAAAACACCAATGAATTTTAAAAGATTGAATTTACCAAAAGTAAAACACTTAAGAAAGAGAACATTTTTCTTCCTTCCTCTTCCTCTTCTTCGATCGGTTTCTTCCACCAGATATTTTATTTTCCCCCACTGTTCGATTAGGGTTGCAATCTCTTCTCGTTATCACCGTCTCTTCTCTCTTATCTCCACCACCGTCGTCTCTCTTCTCTCCCGTCATTTACTTCCTTCGGGTAAACTTTTGCTTACTCTTTCATTATCTTTTGCTCCATCTCTCTCTCTCTCTCTCGCTCTCCGCCACTTTTTATTTCACCGGTTTCTCGAAGTTTTAGCAACTTTCTTAGCTCAATTCCTAGTAATCGAAGCTCATTTCTCGCTCTGTGAAGTTGACTGTTTGAATTTACGGCTTGGCCAAACTCTATCGCTTGAAATACAAACCCAGGAGCAGTCCATTTTGCAATCTCAAGTTCATTTTTGATGAGCTTTTGCCTTTTCTCTGTAGCCACCATATTACGAAGAGTTTTGGATGTTTCTCTCTTGCTGATTATCATCCCTTTCCCTTTAATTGGAAATTTGATACTGCAAAAATGGACTGTTCCTGGGATTTTTAGTTGGTTAATCACATCTCAGGGTCAGACGATATCCGTAGGTATATCGAATCACTTGATTGAGCAATAGGTTTTAGCCAAGCGACTAGTTACAAGGAAATGAAATCAGAAATTTCTCAAAATCTCCAAAATAAACAAGCTGAATTGAATAGGGTTTAGATTGCTAAGCTGACTGAAACTCATGATGCTGTATTTCTGTTGGATTGAGCTGGAAATGATTGGGGAGCAAAGTCTAGAAGAGTTTAGGATCATATGTGTGTTGGTTTGATTGGATTGCTAAGTTTACGCAATCATTCTCAGCATGAATTTATCTCTTCTTACTTCCATGAATCTCTAATTATCTTATGCAATTTTGGATGTTCATGTTGCTACTTGACCACATATAGATTTCTCAACCTCGTATACTACGAGTTGTTGTTGAAAGCTTCTCATGAAGGACTCATAAGTGGACAATTGGCTTTAGAGTTCAGTCACAAGACTTTCTTGCTTCATAGTCCGTTTATGTCACTAATACTAGCAATGCTTTGATGGCGAATGAAATACTCTTCTGACACTGTTTTAATGATTGGCTATATGCAGGGTTAAAATATGGACCGGTCTTATATTTTGATTTTCCATTAGCTTGCTCCATTATCGCCAACGTATAAGACTTTAAAATCTCTCAAATGGATGATGGTTCGCATCGTGAGAATGGTCGCCATAAAGCAGCACAGGGCCAGGTACTCGACAATGATTTCACTCTCTATGCTGCATACATCTTTTATCAATTTGACACTCTTTATCATGCTGCTTGATACCATAGTGTTTTGATGGGAATGCATATATTATTGTGTATTGATATGAAAACAGTGGATGATGCAGCACCAGCCATCGATGAAACAAGTCATGTCAATAATAGCAGAGCGCGACGCAGCGATCCAGGAGAGGAACCTGGCGATTTCAGAGAGAAAAGCGGCAGTAGCCGAACGGGACATGGCGTTTCTCCAGCGAGACACGGCCATCGCCGAGCGCAACAACGCGATCATGGAGAGAGACAGTGCTCTCACAGCTCTCCAGTACCGTGAGAACTCCATGGTCACCGCCGCTGCTGTTGCCAACATGTCAGCATCATCATGTCCACCTGGATGTCAGATATCACGCGGTGTAAAGCATATGCACCATCCACACATGCATCATCAACATCAGCATCAACATCTCATGCCTCAGATGAGTGAAAACGCATATGAAACCAGAGACATAGAGCCAAACGACGCTCTCCCGACGTCACCAGCCTTGGAACCTGCCAAACCGAAACGCGGCAGAAGAGCGAAAGACCCGAATGCGACGAAGACGACACAAACCGCTCCTAACAAGAGAGGTCCCAAGAACCAGAGGAAGGTCAAGAAAGAGAGCGAGGACGAGCTAACGAAGCTGATGTTTGTAAAGACTGCGAGCAGCCACGACTACGGGGAAGAAGAAACAAGCAAACACGTCTTGATCGGATCGAAATCCGACTGGAAGAATCAAGAAATGGTGGGGCTGAACCAAGTCGTGTACGACGAGACGACAATGCCGCCGCCGGTTTGTTCTTGTACCGGAATTCTAAGGCAGTGCTACAAATGGGGAAACGGAGGTTGGCAATCGTCGTGCTGCACGACGACACTGTCGATGTATCCGTTACCGGCGCTGCCTAACAAGAGGCATGCTCGGGTCGGTGGACGGAAAATGAGCGGAAGCGCGTTCAACAAGCTGCTAAGCCGGTTAGCTGCAGAAGGGCATCATGATCTCTCGAACCCGGTCGATCTCAAGGACCATTGGGCTAAGCACGGTACGAACCGGTACATCACGATTAAATGATAATTGTGCATTTAGGTGTGTGTTGTTTTCTTATGACACAGTCTGATTTTAAAGTCGTATTGTACTAGAATTCGAATAAACTCAGAGAGGAAAATAATTTGTATGTTGAGCTAAATGTTATGTTGTATTTATATATATATATATAAGCGGAAAAAATCTTAGCTGCACATTTCTTTTAATATAGATTATATGATTTTAAAATCCATTTCTACTTCATTTGAATTATTTTTATGGTGAAATTTAATCTATTTTTGGTCATAAAAAATTTATAATGCCATTTTGATCCTACCAAGTTTTTTTGATCCGTTTTGGTGAATTTGTCCATCTTTAAATTAGAAAAAGGTTTTTTTCTTTTTCTTTTTAAATACCTCTAACGGTGTGCTAGAATATTGTAAATTAGGAATTATGAATATTGTAAATATATTTATATTGGGCCATAATTCCTTTCCAATTTTAACGAGGCGTACTGAAGAACCCGAAGTCTAATGGAGAGAGAAAGAGTTAGAGAGAGAGGGAGGTGATTTTGAAAATTAGATAACGCAAATTTTTCACTCTTTCATTATTTTATTCGCCGGAGTTTCTCCCTCTCACCGTCTCTGCTTCTCGTCGCCGTTTGAAGTTCTTCTTCTTCCAACTACACTTTCCACCGCCGGTAACTTTACCTTCTGTTCCCCGGGCAGTTTCCGATCTCTCGAATCGGTGTTCTTTGTTTTTTTAGGTTTTCGTTTTCTTATACTGAGAATCTGAGAAGACGTAATTGCAGCTCTCTTGTTTACTTTTTCCTTGCTGAAATCATCATCTACCTCGATCTCTAGCCCTAGTTTTTTTTTTTCTTATCATAATTGGCGATTCCATCTTCTGTTTTTAGTTTGTTCGTGTGTTGTGATCGAGTTTCTAGTTGTTCATTTTCGTTATACTTTACTGATTCTATGGTAGTAATTTGTCGATTTCCCTCGATCTGATTAGCAACTAATAAATCATTTCTTCTGAAATCATATGGTTGTTCTCTGAGAGGATTATGAGAAAGCATAATTTTGTGATTCTCTGCTAATATACATAACCAGCTCATTTCGATGGAGAAAAGTATGATTTAACAAGGTTTTTGTGCTCAGTTGATGCTTTTGGCTTGTATTGAAGAACAAAATTTGACTTATTTACTAAACTACTTGAAATTCTCATGTCAATTGATCCTTTTTTGTTTTTGTTTTCAGTTCTTCAAGATGATTGGATCGTTTCTTACAAGAGGATTGGTGTATGAAATCATACTATAATTACATTTGTTTGCTAAAATGATACTGTTGATTGATTAACTCTCCTAACTTTTCCTTACATTTGATTGCAGGATGGTGTTGGGTTATGCGTACCCTGCGTATGAATGTTACAAGACTGTTGAAAAGAATAGGCCTGAAATCGAGCAGCTTCGCTTTTGGTGCCAGTACTGGTACATTGTTTATTTGCCTTTCCTTCGTCTCCTCCCAAATTTTTCGTGTTGGAAACGACTTACACATTTAGTAACTTATCAATTACAGGATATTGGTTGCTTGCTTGACAGTTTTTGAAAGAGTTGGTGATGCTTTTGTTTCATGGTGAGCATTTCCTGGATTTCTCCTACTACAAACAAATGTTTTTTTTCGCTCTGTTTCCTGACTGTTTTTGTCTTTCGTTTCTTCTCAAAGGGTTCCAATGTACAGTGAAGCTAAGTTAGCATTCTTCATTTACCTGTGGTATCCTAAGACCAGGGTAAGTGTACATTTGATAGGATTTGGAGGAGAATCATAAATCTTGTTTTATGTGTTTCATGATTCTTTGCCTTTTTGATTGTGCAGGGTACTACATATGTCTACGAGTCTTTCTTTAGACCATATCTCTCACAGCATGAGAATGACATAGACCATAGTTTATTGGAGCTAAGAACAAGAGCTGGAGATATGGCGGTTATATACTGGCAACGAGTTGCAAGCTATGGACAGACGAGAATCTTTGAGATTTTGCAGTACGTCGCTGCACAATCAACTCCAAGACCGCCGCAGCCACCTCAGGTACGAGCTTCTATGATAGAATAAGTAATTGAATTCGATTTTCGTGTTATGTCATATTGATATTCGTTTTGTGATTCAGAAACGTGGAGGCAGAGCTAATCAAGCTCCTCCTAAGCCGAAGAAATCTTCCGTAGCACAACCTACAGCTGAAGAAGTAGAGGTGCTCGATTCGTCTAGCAGTGATGATGAAGGTAACGAAGCTACCGGTAAAGCAGCAGGCCCTTCAAAACCGGCTTCTGCACCAGCCACGGTTACGAAAACCGCTCAGGTAGTACAAAAATCAGTCGCAGCCGCTTCCCCAACCCAATCAACCACCCAAGAGGAAGAAGTAGAACTAATGGAGATAGAATCAGAAGAGGAAGCGGAATCAGTGGATGGAAGTTCGAAACAGGAAGGTCCAAAGGAGACGGTGATGGAGCAGACAATCAGGATGACTCGTGGAAGGTTGAGGAAGACGCGTTCAGAAGAGAGCCGTTGAAAGAAGGTTCCAAAAATTGTTAATTACTTTTAAAACATAAAATTGTTCTCTTTCACTCCTTTCTTTCTCTTTCTCTCTACTGCTTCTAGAATTACGTTGACATGAACTAATTACATAGTGGGTGAATGCTTTGTATGAAAAGCAAAGTTGCTTGTTTCTTTCTCTCTTTATTCAATTTGTTGCGTTAAAGTGTAGATATGACACTCTTTTGTTTTGTTTGATTCTCTTGGTTTGTTTAGAGTGATTCGGTTTAAAAGGTACAACTACTTTCCAGTGTAGAAATGAAGCAAGATCAAGTAGTTGGGAAGCCGTTAAACTTCTCGATTGCCACATAATCATGTAACTAAGGTCACTGTAAACACGAAAGTATACTAGTTTACAAGGTTGTGAAATTAGTTGCCACCTAATCATGTAACTAAGGTCACTGTAAACACGAAAATATAATAGTTTACAAGGTTGTGAAATTAGGTAGTTGGTATATGAGACCAACCATAAAAGCTTGTATGAATCTCCTACCTTCTGAGTGGAGTAATAATAACGTCGATGTATTTTGCATTTGGTAGGCAGTTTACACTACCTTCTGGCCTGCGAGTTTTGTTAGTTCGGATAACTCTTTTTTTGTTTTTGTAAAAGATTTGCTTAAATTCGATTCGGATAACTCGAATAGTCGGGTAGTTTGGCTCGAGAAAAATCGACCGAAAATAATCAAAATAAATTATGGTTCGGTTCAGTTCGGGTATTTCAAGTATTTGTTTTAAAATTTGTTAAATTTTGTTTCAGTTCTGATAACCGAAAGTAACTGAAGTTTTTGTTGCAAATTTTGTTAAATTCGGTTAAGTTTAAACAAATTTGGTTAGTTCGGTTCAAATTTTTTAATATTTTAAACTAAATCTGGTATAATTCAGTATGCTTTGGTGTGGTTTTGTATATCTCGGTTTTGAATATAACAATAAAAAATATGGTTCACCGATAACCGAACCTATTTTGAAAATTGCCGATCAGGTTAACCAAAGTAAATGAACCGCAATCAAAGACCAAAAATACCAATTCGGTTTCATAAACTTTGGTTCAGATAAAGAAATTCATAGCTTTAGTTGTTAACAATTATAACTATACTATTTTTCACGTAAGCGCATGGAAAAACGATAATTAAAGAAAAAAAAAATCTTTAACCAAAAACAAAACTTCAACAACATTTTTAAAATTTATTTGAAGTTGTAAGCGCATCAAACCGGGAATATATTATACATGTGTGTGTGTTTATCACTAGTTTTTAATTATTATGTGAAGTAAAATACTTTAACCAAAAAATTTATGTGAAGTAATCATGTTTATAATGGGAAAAAAATTTAGTCGAATGAATTTATGATAGAGTTGAAGCAAATTGGTTAATACCCTTTAACAAAAAAAAATGGTTAATACCAAATAGCATGCTGATATTTTATAATATTTGTGAGAGAAAAACAAAAATAATATATAAGGGACCAGCAATCGGTACACTTATCGTGCCTGATAATGATTATAACTAAACTAGTATATATAAAGTCTTACATTAGTATATATGATGACAATGATTCACTAAGTATCGCTTCACATAACAAAATGATGAGTAGTTATTTAAGTCCAACGACTTGTTGTTTTCTCCTATATTGCTTATGACCGGGTTCATCGATTACTGTTGCTTATGCCTGGATTCATTGTTTACTGTTGTTCCTGTGTATTTTAAAAATGTCTCAAATTGAGATAAATTTTTGTGTCTTTTATCACTGTTCGGCTTAATGTTAATGTTAGTACATACTTCTTTCCAAGAGAAGCAATCACAATCTCATCATAGTTGTGATCTAAGATTGCATAATGATTCTATTCTCAGCTCATAGCGCTAAAGTCAACTCAAATCATAAATCGCATAATCTCCCCACAACAAATGAGTTTATTTATACAACTGAAATAGATTCGACACATATATACGTATGATATATCTTATCAAATTCACTTTACTATAAACTTTCCTGTGAATAAATCATTTTTCGATAATACATATGATATATCTTATCAAATTCATACACAAGCATAAAACCAAACAACTAAATCTCAGTTACAAACTAAAGCTCTCCACACAACCAAAGTCTATCGGTTGCTTAAAATGATCTATCACAAAAGCTCTATCACAAATTTTATGATATGTGTTAATATAATTTTTTTTCAAAAGATATCAAATATTCAAATTTAGAAAAACTAACACTACAATAAAGTGTAACGGTCAGTTAGATACAAAAATTGGTTATTTATACTTATGCAAAACATTCACATCGTATCATACCCCTAGAGTAATAACGATGAATGAATCCTCTAACATAATTGATTTGAATCATTGAAGCCACAACTAACTTCAGTTCCAAACAATTATGCGGCATCCAAAATTTGATTCCTATAACTTTTTCATTAAGATCAACTAAAGATCCACCTGAACTACCCTTGTGTGTAAAGCAATTAGTTTGAAAATACAGCCTATTTTGCTGTAGCATTTTGTTTCCTTAGTTTCTCAATGGATATCAATATGTATACCTAGTTTTGTGGAGATTGAGAGGCAAACGAAAAAAAAAGCTACGGTTCAATCCCCTCGAACGACATATGCTATATGTCTCAAGCACAACTTTGGGAAATGCTTGTGAAGACTCTCATTTATATGGATTTAAGTGATCATGTTGAACTTTTTTTATTGAGTCTTGGAATCGAGTTCTTGTGAACATCGGTTCGGTGATTTTTAGAAGAATTTAACTGGGTCTTGAGCAAGCTCTAAGAACAAGACTTTCGGATTGGGGTTATGTGACAAATTTAGCTTCAACTGAGATGACATGATTTATTTAGCTTAGCTGTGTTTTTTAGAATGTTTTGATTGGAGATGGCGAGGAAAAAATATTTAATTTTGAGGACAATTTTTGTTTGTTTTTTTTGTTAATTCGCCGAACGCACAGAGCGCAATGTCTTTTTTGACGGCAAGAAAAAAACTCATATGTGAAAAAAAAAAAGGAAAGGCCGAAAAAAGCGATCGTTGGTTGTGTTCTGATATCAGCTCAGTTTTCCCAGAATCATGGTCTGCACATTTTACGATTCTTCTCCATTTCTCTCCGAATTTGATTTCTGATTCCCAATTTCTAATCGATTTCTCTCCAATTCTTTATCCTCTTTTCCAGATCCGATTCATACTATTGCAGAACAGACAAGGCAAGACGCGTCTTGCCAAGTACTATGTTCCTCTCGAAGAGTCCGAGAAACACAAAGTCGAATACGAGGTTCATTTTCAAATTCTTCTCCCTCTATTCTCTGTTATCTCGCTTGTGCTTCTTCTCATCTTATGTTTTCTCTGATTCTTCATTTCTCTCAGGTTCATAGATTGGTAGTGAATCGCGACTCAAAATTCACCAATTTCGTCGAGGTTTGTGGGTTTTTTTTGCTTAACGTGATTAGTGTGTTATTTGGTTTTGGAATTTGGCTTTGTTGCTAGAGATTTTTGAGAAATTGTTGCTTAAAAAAGTCAACTAAATTGGCCTTGAGATACATTTATGGACGATCAAAGCCAAACAATCAAGCTGATTAGGGGTTTCGAATCATGCCTATATGCTAAGTATGCATCACCATAGTTCCATGTTCATGTATTAGTAAGTGACTTTATGTTTAATGTTTATGGAGGACCAAAACCAAATAGTTGAGCTGATTAGGGATTTAAATGATGTTTATATATGCTATCTATGCATCCACAATAGTCTAATTTTCGAATATGGTCACCAGTTTGAAGTATAAGTAAGTGAGTTTTTGTTTAATCGTTTTGCAGTTTAGAACACATAAGGTTATATACCGGCGCTATGCGGGATTGTTCTTCTCGTTGTGCGTCGATATAACGGACAATGAGTTGGCTTACCTTGAATGCATCCACTTGTTCGTCGAGATTTTGGACCACTTCTTCAGCAATGTTTGTGAGCTTGATTTGGTTTTTAACTTCCACAAGGTACCTAAAACATTCTTTCTTTCTTTGTTTCATCTGTTATGTGAGCTCTCAAACGTCTGAATCTCCGCGTCACTCAGTTTAAGAGCTTATATAATTACAGAGAATGATTGTGTTATTGTTTCTTCTTAACCTATGATTAGCAAATTCGCAGTGATGATTCTTGTTTTAAAGGCTTAAGCTGGTGTATAAATGTGAATTTCGATATTCGTTTGTTTTGTTCATTTTACATGCTTACTAATTCACAATGGTTAGTGATGATTCTTGGCTTTAATCATATCAAGCATGTTGTGTCTCTTTAAGGCCAAAGACTGATGGATAGATTTGTTGCTTATATATATTCGTTCTTTGTTTGTTTTAAAGGTGTACTTAATACTTGATGAATTCATTCTTGCTGGAGAGCTTCAAGAAACAAGCAAGCGGGTGCGTATAAAAATCTTTTCTTTTTCTTCTTTTCCTCAATCTTCTGTTTTTCCCCCTTATTGTTGACACTAAACTGAAAAATTCTTCATTACGTGGCAGGCGATCATTGAGAGGATGTCTGAGCTGGAGAAGCTGGAGTGATGATGGAGATTGGGAAATGAAAGTGATAGTCAAGAAGGAAAATCAGCAATAGGAGAGTCTCCTGTTTTTGCTCTTTTCTATTATATTCTGTCTACATTTCTCTGTTTCTCTCCCTCTGCGTAAAGAAACTTATGGTCTGTGACATTGTATTCAGTTCTCATTCGTCTTCTTAGACAATGATTAAACAAAAATGAGAGTTGATTAGTACACCTTGCAAATGTTCTGCGTTGCATGAATTTTTGTCAGTGACAAACATATCTGAAATCCTTGAGATTGTATCACAACAGTTGCAACTATTATGTTTGTTTGTTTGCTCAATGATGATGATTCATACTTATGGCAAAACACAAATCCATATCTACTAGGTACCAAGTTACATAAGAGTATTCTCGAAGATTTAAGCATAATACACGAAGCAAAACCATAAAAACGCTCTACAGAATCAGATTACATTTTACCATTGTTTTGTTTTCGTTTCCTCTATTTTCACGTACTCTTCTTTCCTTCAGGACTTTGGTCAATGGACTCCAACTGGTTCCTCAGATTCTGATTATCCTCAAGAAGCCTATCATACTCCATAAGAAACCCATCAGCCTGTTTCCTCATTGCCTCTGTTTCAGCTTGCGCACCTTTCAGTTCTTTACCTCTGCTCTCGCTCTCCGCTTCTAACGTCTTGATCTTTGCTTTTAATCCCGCAATTTGTTCCCCGAGGGCTTTGATTTCTTCCCCGCTCGTGTTCTTCCCATCCTCGAAACCTCTGTTCTGTTTCTTCGCTGTCTCCATCGTCTTCCTCAGCAAACGAAGCTCTCTGATGTAATGGTGTAGTCTATCAATCATGAGCGAGAGAAATAGCACAAATCCTACATATATAATAACGTTAGGGACATGTTAGAATGGTACGAATGAAATCTAATCTCTTCTGAAATCTGATATTAACTTATATAGATTCCTAAGGCTATAGCTATATAGAAAGACTCGTTTATCAAGTAAAATATATTGAAATCAAACCAAAAGCTCATGGTCTTCTTCAGTAACAGAGGTTCTCAAATTCTGAAAGCTTAAAAGTTCAATAACCAAAAGAAGAGTAACTCTAAAAAGAGCAAATCAGATTCTTCGTATTATAATGGTTAAATAATCAGATCTGCTTCTTGTGAAATCTGATATCAAAGTCATATGTGAATGGTAAAGATCATGATTACACTCCTTGATTCCAAAACAGATCTCCGACCCAATAGTTCATTATATAATCGAATTCTCCGTTCTAATCTTCAATCCGAAAAAAGAAAAATCAAATCCGTTCCCGTTCCTATCTAACCAACTCGATAACCATTTCTACTACTGATTTTAAGAGAGAACGCGTAATTTACCCATTAGAGAAGCTTCGAGGAGATGTTTCGACGCGAGGACCTGGTCAGTAGGATTGAGAGCGGCACCGTCAATGGATAAGCGCTGGATGTTTAGCAAACTGTAGACGCTCGACATCAGAACGACGAAGACGGTGGCGCCGATGGTTTTGACGACGACAGGGCCGCGGCCGCGCTTGATGCGATCGAAGGTGAGGATGATTAGTTTCCGGAGAGGGGTTTTGAAGAGGAGAAGGAGGATTAGCGCCATTTCGGCGAAGATCACCGTGTAGAGGAGCTGGATCATCGTTGCGCGGTGAGCGAAAACCCTAGATCGGAGATGAAAAGTGAGAGAGAACTGTGTTTGTCAATGAATAGAGAGAGAGAGAGAGACCCACAACTTCGGATGAAAAAGGCGTTACGTGACACCAAGTTAATAAGCTTTTTATTATTTTGGTATGCGTAAATAATAATCAATGCCACGTCTTTTTTTACTTTTTTGTCTTTTGTATGATTTGGCAAATAATGGAATGATCTAGTTCTAAATCAGTAAATCGAACATAACAAATAATGTGATTCATGAAAACATATTAATATCCTAAGACCATATCCATCCCTAAAACCCAATTTTGGGTTTTTAGGATTTTATTATTATTATTTTGTCATCACTTTATGCTAACAACTTTTTGTAGTGGATTTTATTTTTTTTGTTCTCCAATCATTGGAACCTTTTTTAGGGTGAATTTGCTGAATAACCATATTGGGAAATATAATAAAGAATATAGCCATAACATACTTGATATAAAGAGAATAACCAAAACTAATTTTTAAGGTTTCTGTTTCACCGATGATTAAAATGACGGCGGATTTGGTTGATTCTTAGGGTTTGTGATCTCCGATTGAATTACTCTACACATAACCGCAAGAATCGGAACTTCTAACAAATGCCGAGAATAATCCATTCTAAATGAGAGGTTTGAGACTGAAAGATGTGAAAACGGAATTAATATGATCTAATCGACAGACAGAAATTGATCTCACATTTGTCGAAATTAAGAAATTACATGAAAGAATTCCTGAAACGAAGAAAAAAAAATCACTTCAGAGAACGATGGGAAGGAGGATAGTTTAGGGAATATTATAGAAATTATTCACTATATCGTAGCCAAATAATGGATATGGATATATCCTTAATTGATTCTTTTTTAATGGTTATCCATTGATAAATCCCCTATATCAAGCAGGCATATATATTTACTAAACTAGAAAAAAATTGGGATAAATGTTTTTACTAATGTTGAAATTTCATAAAAGTTAATGCTAGCATTAAAGTTTTTTAATTTAAAGTGGTATAATAAGAGAGGAAATGTTGACACGAGGGGGATAACTCTTTTTTATCATAGATACATATTATAGCAAATACAATATCTGTTAATCATACACATTGTTCTAAATTTATGGAATAAAGTAACTTATATCCACTTGATTAGTGTTTGCATTTCTTTTAGTTTATCACTTCATTTTCAGTAAGCTAATTAAAGAAAAATTAGCCCCAAAATCATTAATTTCAATTCATCAAATCTAAGACCATCTCAACCCTCATGCTATATGTTATTGCAAATGGCAAAAATATAGCAATAGTTTCTCTCCAACCCCTCATGCCATATATCATGCTATAATTTTTTTCCAACTTATTATTAATTGTTAAAACTACTTGATTTCTTCAAATTTTACAAAGTGAATCATTTGTTTTTTTTTTTTGCAAAAACAACCAGAATTATATTTTTATATTTTTTATTATTATTATAATATTAAAACAAAATACATCATATTACATAAAAATTATAGAAAACAAAGATTTTAACCTATTGTTTTATGTTTTTTGAATTTCAGTATTTTTAAAAATAAAATTTTAAGTTTATTATGGTTATGTTTTTATATTTCTATGAAATAAATATTATTTATATTTTGAAAAAGTTATGAGTATTGTTTATTTATTTAAATAAATCATAATCAATATAATTAAACTGTTAAATTAAAAGTAATTACAAATTGAAGGACTATTTTATAAATAAAAAAGTTCAATGGCAAAATAGCATATTGCATAATCTCATGCCAAATATAGAAGCAAAAATAGCATGATGCTATTTTGCAATAGCATATGCAATTGGGTTGGAGCAAAAATTATGGCAAAATAGCATATATGTCATATTTAGCATGGGGTTGGAAATCCCTAAACCCTAAATCCTAAACCCTGGACTCTAACATCGATCCATATAGAATTGGAAATATCTTTGTATCCACACGGGCCACCACGGTTGTTCCATTAGTAGAATATGCGTTAACAGTTAACACCAATACAAGAACAACCAGTCTCGTTAAAATTCGGTGTGACGAATGATGATGACTGGTGGTTCTTGTCCTCCTTCAATGCCACTAGAAAGGGAACTTCAGTTTCTTCATCACATTGATATGCTATCAAACTCTGATCATTATGCTACTTTGACTAGGCTTAACAAGCAAGTCTTTCCTCGTGAGTCGTGACCGTGAGGTCTTCACCAACCTTGGACATTTTATTATTCTCAAAAACTCACAAATTCATTCATGGATGTTCCTTATTACAAGTGTTAATTGAAAGTATGATTGTTTCTTATGAACATGTGAACAGGGGTGGCGGATCTAGTAAAGGAAGAGGGTGGTCATTTGACCCACTACTTTTGTAATAAAAAAAAATTCATGCTTAATTATGTGATAATTCTTTTAATTTGCTCATGTTTAATGGTAGTTTTTGTTAAACATATAAAATTGACCCCCTTGTTTTTTCCTTTTGTTAAAATTTGACCCTCTTGTGTGAGATATAATTCCTATCTGTTGCATCATTTTTATAATTTGATTTCTATTTAGTTGTTTGTTTTTCTTGATTTTGTTTGATATGCACAATATCTATAAGAATATTCATTATTCCATAAATAAACTTAAAACTGCTTTATATAAGTATGCTTAAAATTATTTTCAGCAAAAAAAAATTTATATTAATTATAATTATATTAGCATTGACCCCCACTAAGAAAAATTCTAGCTCCGCCCCTGCATATGAATATGTGATATGGTTGTTTGTCACAAGAAGCTTAAGCAATAGTCGAAGTCAGAGTTAAAGAGCTGCGATTCTGATGTCACTGCCAAAATGCAAAGACTTTCTCTTTGAAGAATTCATTTGTAAGTTTCACGGACCAGTTTGAGTTCATGATGGTCATAAGAAAATATATAATTTTTTAGTACTCTCTTACCGTTCCGGTATATATATTGATTTAGTCAATGTTAGTGTTTTCTTTCTTTCAATTTTACTGTTATCTTGGCAACACAACAATGTTTTTTTAGCTAGAGTCACTTTGCAACCGACATGTGCACCACATGACATGGATAGATATTTTTTCATATTTTTCTATAAAAAAATAAAGCAAAGTTTTTAAAATTCTTCTTAACGACTATATACAAGATTATTATGTGATTGTTTATCACAAGATCTGAAGAGAAATACGTGTAAGTAGTTAATAAAATGATTGCAAGTGTTTATGGGATGCCAACAGCAACATGTGGTTACTTTCATGCGTTTTTGGTCAATATCGTAGTAATGCGTCCAGCTATTTACGTGTTCAAAATCACAAACAAATTCGCACTATAATTCATAGTTGGTAGATTAAAGTTCCACCAAATTGGCCTTTCGACTATCAATGGATATCGACGTCTCACTTTTCTTCTTGTTAATGGTTCATATATGGAAGAATCCTCACAAAAAAACAAGAGTAGATAAACTTTTTTTTTGAGAAATTAATAATTTAAGGAAACGCATTGTTGAATGATAGATATTTGCTCTGAGTATTCGTATAGGTATAGGAGCATACTTGTTAACTGTGGATGATATATTTCTTATTTTTCTGCCATTGTTGGGCAAAATCCCTGTTCAATTTGAATTTCCTGTTGTTTGGTTAACATATATATATAGATGTGTGATAGTAAAATAATTGTCGTTTAATACTTAATGTGTAACTGTTTAAATGTATACATATTTAATTTAAATTCTTCATTGTTCTATTTCTCAACATAGGCCAGCCCATAAAACTAAGAGAGGATATAAATTGGGAATCCAACTTTATCAAATATATATACAAGTTGACACCCAATTTAAAAGTCTATGCAAATTTTACATAAGCCACGCAGATCATACGTTTAGCCGGAATAAACTTCTAATGATAAGCGGCCGAGACATGAGATTTACATTGTAACGGTGCAAACAGAGAGTTGAGCTCAGTGTACCTCAAGACATCAAACCCATGGCTCTCCATAAGCTTCTTCTGTTTGGTGTTAAACCGCTGTCGATAAAATCCTTCGAACGATGGTTCTGTGGAAGTCCGAAGAAAAAAGAAGTAACCAAGGAGGAAATGAAGTGAAGTGACAAAGAAGCAGATGGGTTCCATTACGTCCCAGCTTAGTTCCCAGAAGGTAAGACGCAAAAGGCCAATAGTTTGTGCTGCTAAGAATCCGAGACCGCAATATAACTCGGCCTTGACTATTCGTCGTGCCTTTATGTCAATACACTTCTTTGTCATCTCAAGTTTATATAACTCTTCTTTCCTTGGATCGTTTGGGAGTGTTGATGATTGGTTGATCATTGCCTCCATAGACTTAGCTATCTGAATAAAAATAGTGAAGTTATATAAGAAAATGATATATATATATATATCTATATAAAATGTAATATATTTTATTTTGGGGGATTTTCTTTACTTTTGGAGAAATTTGAGATATATAAGCAGAGTTTTCTTTGAGTTCAAGCAAAGCAAGCTTGGGTTTGCGACCCATAATTTTGCAGAAAAACCCTAATATAGATTTTGGCTCTTAATTTTGCAAAAAAATGTCTGAATAGTTATGGCTGGTTTCACTTTGTTTTGAAGTGGTGGGTTCATTCTTCCCTACCTATAATAATTTTGTTTTACTTAAAAATATTAAGAAACGCTCATTTATTTTTCCTAACTTGCGGCTTCTAAATTCTCAGGAACGGCTCTGTATATAACTTTTAAGAAATTTCCGATATTACATTTAATATTCATGGACTCTATCAACCAAACCAAATAATAATTTTTAAAAAAGACTGATTAAATTTTTTTAACTATTTGTTTAACAAAAAACATTATCAACCAGTGATAATCCTGTAAGACTTTGATCAGATCTATGTATTTTAAGCTATAAAAAAAAGAGCAAATCTTATATACTAGAGATTATGGAGCATTTGTACTTAAACATATAAACCAAAGGCTCTAACTGGTGAGCTTTAAAGGAACAAAAGGAATAAGAATGAAAAGAATGAAGATGAATAAAATTTAGGGAACTCGTTCCTACAGTTTTTTTATAAGGAATATTTTAACACTAAATGTCTTTAATTAATATGGAATGAAAGAGAATAATATAAAATACACATTCCTTATGAATGGTGTAATTTTTAAGGAATGAGAGGGAACTTATTTATTCCCCCTCATTCCTTGGTTACCAGTTGGAGAGTGTTTACTAGTTAGATGATTCACCTGATGAGGATGAAGGAAAACAATATCTCCTAAAACGACGACGCATCCTGAATGATCCAAAGACTTGGCCATTTGAGAACCTTGCTCGTCGTTGTTTCCACAAGTCTCACGACAGATCTGAACAAACTCCAAATAACAAATAGAGCTCTTTGGAATCTCTCTGAGTTTCGCTTTAACCTTCTCCGTTTGATATATTCTCAGCAACTTCTTGGTCTCACTCACCGATAAGCCCTTCACAGCCGTTGTTTCCTCACGTTTGGGAGGAGGAGCAACGGACTCGATGCGGATCCCAATGATCCGGTCCATAAGGTTCGGCGAGTTCACGTACTGACGGAAGATTTTCGTGTTTGTCGACGGTCCAATGGATCTGTAACCGTCGATGAGACGCTTTGTGATAGCTCTACGAAGCGCCATTAAGAGAAAGAGAAAGAATCTTTGGGTGAGAGAATATTTTGTTGATTCTTTGTGAGTTTTGTTTAGAAATGTTTGTTAGGGAATTTATAGTCGCCATTCTTGAGGTTAAAACTTGAAAGGAAGAAAAGTTAATGTTTTACCATTTTTATTTGATTTTTTACTGTGAAATGAGAATCTTAGTGGAAAGGGAAAAAAGAATCTCAGAGAATCTAAGTTGATTTGGCAAGTCCCAAGGAGTATAAGAGAATACTGGACAACACGTGTGAATTTCATTACAAAGATTCCATGTGAAGGAGATTCTAGTGGATGCCTCATATTTGACCACACAAACTCGTTTTTCGAATTTTAGATGTTTTTTTCTTCGTGCATTTTCCTTTCTCTTTCGACCACTAAACTTCATTTACATTCCTTTAGTCTTCAAAAACTAGTTAGAATAATTTGGAGCACTTTGGATTTGATTTCGTACGTATGCCCTGATACGGTGATAAGTAGGATTTTTGTATCAACTACTCTCAATCCATACCACTCATGTCATTGTAGTACTTGAGATGTCAATCCAAGTGGAGATTAAACTATCGAAATAAAGAAAAGGCAAAGATCAAGTTTTGATAAAAGATTGGGTTTTGTTTTGTAAAGATCTATGCTTTAAGCTAACAAGATGAAATAAAGATTTAAACTTTAACAATAAAAGATAAAGGAGGCGTCTTGGGTGAGACTTAGTTGGGATCAAACGAGCTCAACCTTCCTTTCTCAACACACCAAGACTCAAGCTTTGTGCTTAGACTTTGGGTAAATCCGCCACTCTCGTGGTCAGATCGCTTTGCAAGCTGAGAATCCAAAGCTAGCTCTCACTAGTGGACTCAAAGTTACAAGCTTTCACAAGATCTAGTCTAAAAGTGCACAAGATACATCCCAACAACCAATCTCTTAGGTTGGGAATGTTTCTCTCTATCGCTAGCTCTCTTAGGCATTAACGCAAACACCTTCTAGGTGTACTAGCCTAGATTCGCGACTTCAAGTGATCAAGAAGAAGCCGAGATATAAAGCTCTAGCTAAAGAAAAGCTGGTCAAGGGAGATTAAGGAAGAGGTTAACAGGAAGCTAAAGCTCTGACCTTTCCTAATCTCACCCTCGAAACCTCTAAAGAACTACTCGCTACTCATACTCGAACCGAAAGCAAAGAGGTAAAGAAAGCTAGAAATCATCATTAAGACAAGATTAGCAAACTAAGTACTTCTTAAACTTAAAAGATTCAAAGTAAAAGCTTACAAAAGATCTCCAAGAACAAACTGTTTTTCTTGGAGAGAAACTGGTTACAAGATAAAGATTGCCTAAAATTAGGTCTTAAAGGTTTATATAGAGAAGGGAAAAGTGTATCCTTTGGTCAACGTTTTTGCTTTGACTTCACAGATGCGCGCAGCTTGAGCAACTTCCTCAAGCACTCTGTTTCCTTTTGCTCAAGGCTCTGTTCCGTCTTGCTTGTTTTGCCATCCGATTACTCCGATCTCCTTCTGGTCCATCTCCGATCATCACCTCCGGTCCTCCTTCGCCATAAGCTCCGAATACCTGATAAATGCACCCCAAATGCAATGGAAATGCAAAATGCTATCCTAAAGGCTAAATGATCCTAAGTAGACTAAAGCTACACTAAATGTTATGAAATGAGACTCAATTATACACAGAACTATGCAGTATGAGAGGCTAAATGCATGCGAATGTTGAGTACATCATACAGCCTTTACGCTAGTTTCTTGGGCAACTTCTTATTCTTTTGCTATTTTTGATTACTTAAATATTCAATCAAAACTCCTATATTGGTATTTTTTTAATTTTTTTTAATCAGTTCGAGTCGTTTTCCATTGTGCTCAACTGCTCATCATTGGATTTCTCCGACCCTCCCGTATAGGTCTTATTAAGACATATCATGTTCTATCTGTTGTTTCTTTTCTTTCTGTTGAAATCTTTCTTTTGGCTTCTACTATCCTCCAAAGCCATTGGTTTATATCAGTGAAAACATATTCAGAAGAGTTCTCCGTCTTAATTCGAAATGAGATACAAAAGTACATACTCCCTCCGTTTCAAATTAGTTGTCGTTTTGGCAAAATGTATCTGCAAATATTTAGACGTATCTAGACATGTTTTGCATTGCAAAATAAAAAAGATACATCTAAATAATTAGAGATACATTTTCCCAAAACGACAATTAATTTGAATCAGAGGGAGTATATGATATCATATTAGTATTTGCAAATCAATTTTCGTGAATGGAGCCACCACGTTAACTCTCAGCCGCGGAATTACCGAGATGCCCTTAATGAAAATCTTTCAATTAAATCTTCGAATTTTTCCTTTTTTATTAAAAACGAATTTGATTATTGACTTTTAATATTTTTAGATAAATATGTTAACTACCATATCCCGCCTTATTTTTGGAAGATATTATAAATTTTAGGAAGATAAATAATAAGTAAACCCTAAGATTCTTAACTGACCTGTATTATATAAATAGATACGATCTTGGAAAAACAACACAATTTTCATTACGATTTGCAATTTGTCTTTCAATACGTAATTTTAGTTCTTAGATCTCATATTTCTTCTTCACATGTACCTTAATTGTTTTAGTTCGATCTTAGTTCTAATAAAACTATTTATGAACTGATTATTTGTTATTTTCTGTCAATATCATCTATTGATCCGCTTCTAACTACTTCCTCTCTCACTTTTGTAACAGAAAATTCATTATTTGTAAGCTGATGGAATAGAAGTTCATATATGGTCCCAAGCCAGAAGTATTCTTCCCCAAAAATAGAGGGTATGAACATCTTTTCTTTTATATATCAACTTAATATTCATGAAACCCTAATTCTAATGATGAGAGTATAACGTTTTCTGTTTTTTTTTTTTTTAATTTTAGTTTCTTCAATGAAGCTGGAGGAATGGAATTGGCGGAGCCTGGAAAGAAGAATGATTTCGGGAGCATATTAGCAGGTACAAAGATTTGGTTGAATCTTGAGATCATGAGAGGCCGTACCACATGATGTGCATGTGGCTTTGGATTGATTGTCTTTGCAGATCCTTATGTTGTTGTAGAGAGAATGATCATGAAGAAACAAATCATTGATGGCCGATCGGTTAATATTCTAAAACTCATCAAAAATCCTTCATCAATCTCTGTAACATATGATGTAACCTTTTGTTTTTTTTTCTTACTTGCGCAGTAAGCTTTCTTTAGTAGGACAAGACGATTTTTGAGTTCCTGTTTCGTCTACTAAAGGAGAGAGAACCTTATTCTGAATTCTTCTTACTTTTGGAGAGTCGAGTCAATTAAAGAAAAGAGAAACACTACGAAGAGATAATGATTCAATGAGAAGATATTTCCTGATGCTAACATGTGGCCAAATTACGATGAAATTGAGGATGAAGAAGATGACAAAGAAGAAATACAATATTTATTCACAGTCTCCTCGACTCTCTTCTTTTATTTTATCAGTTTCATCTTTCTTCATGTAAGAAGAAATACAAGAAGAAAGATGAAACTAATAAAATAAGATGTTGCAAAAATGAAAAGGATTGATAACACAAAATGATAAAGAGTACAAAATGAAATAAGAAGAAAAGACTGAATAAAAACAAGGAAAAGATGAAAGTTGGAAGACAAAGACGGAAAAAACAAAAGAAACAGAACAAAAGAAGAAAATATTTGAAGAATATGTGAACAATAAAGAAGTTGAAAAAAAATCAAAAGATAAAAAAAACGAAGAATAAGAACACAAAGACAGTTGAAAAACAAATTGTAAATAAAAGGAAGAAAACTGATAAAAAGCAGGAAATAATAAGATGACGATGAAGAGAAAATTAAAAGAGAATAGAAAGTTTGATAAGAATAAGAAAAAAAATAGTAGAAAATGAAGAAAAAATATGAAGTAAAAGACAAATTAAAATAAAAAGATAAAATAGGGTTGAGGTTTATGATGTACGGTTTATACTGATGGGCGTAAAATTTAGTTGTTGATGCATTTAAAAAAATTTGAATACACTAAATTACCGATATAAAAAAACTTATGTTAAAAATAAAATAAAAGTAAATATAGAACCAATTTCTAAAATGTGGGTTCGGGTGTACAGATTGGGGGAGGGGGGACCGGGGGCGGAGGGTGTTACACTATGGTGTTTGGGTTGTTTAGGGGGTGGTGTTACACTGTAGGGTTTGGGTTTAGGATGTAGGATTTATATTGATGGGTGTAGGGTTTAGTTTTTGGTGCATTTTAAAAACTTAAATTATTATAGAAGAATTTCATTATAGAAAATCATTTATTATAAAAAGTTATACTATTTATCTTATTAAAACTTTTAATTAATTAATGTATTTTAAAAATATTGTACCCGCACAAGGTGCGGGACAACCACCTTGTATGTTATATTTTAATTGAAATTATTTGGTGCGTGTAAACAAAAGTTGGGATGATGCTTTTAAAAAAAACTAATTAAAAAAATGAGAACATGTTTACCGAATTGTCTACTCGGATCACAAGTTTAAAAGAATGAGAACTTGGCCAAAAAAACAAAAGAAAAAAACGATTGTCGTTGAAATATATGTAAAATCATAAAATTTGTTTCCAAGAGAAAAAATATTTATGATTCGAATCAACAAAACGAATACATCGGTGGAACATGCGTAGCTCCTATATTATTCGAATAATCGATTGATATTGACATGCATAATTATGTTTGCTAAGCCAGAATCCGTTCTTTCGTCAAAACATAAATATACTAGATTACGTAATCCCCCACATATCAATCTTAGAGAATTTGGAATAAAAATGCGAGTGGGAGCGAACGAGGATATCATATATATTCGATAAATGGACGTTATCTCCTTTTCCCTGAGTGGCGGGTGATTTGTAGCTCACCAAGGCAACAAAACAAAGCATAAAATTACTTAAAAATAGATTTGATATAATTATATTTGTGGGGGAAATCAAAATGGGAATACTAGATTTCCACTTACTTTTTGCATACATCAGAAATGAAGATGCAACTGATTTGATGCAGATCGTGAATCAGTCAGGAAGTGCATCAGGACGTATGGACGGACTTGTAGCGGAGCTAAAGGAATGTTGTTGAGCTGGATGCGAGCTTGTAGCGGATAAGGACGAATCCAGAAGAGGCGGTCGCTGAGCTGGATGAGAAGAGTTGGAGATATCAACACAAAAGGAATATTTCCTATTCTTAGAGAAAAATAAGGAAAGGAAATATTCCCTTGAGGATTTGGAGCAATCATTAAGACCGAAATCTTGTAGGGTTTCTAGGCACGCCTATTGTGGATAGATAGAGTGCTCTGGCTGCTTGTAGGCGGCTATCAAGACAAAAGGAATATTTTCTATTCTTAGAGAAAAATAAGGAAAGGAAATATTCCCTTTGAGATTTGGAGTAATCACCAAGACACAAACCTTGTAGGGTTTGGCGGTTTGTCTATTGAGTATAAATAGAGGACCTTGGCTGCTTGTAAGCGGCTATCACAAACTTGAGAGCTTTAGCATATTTGGGTTTAGATTTCTTGTAAGAAAGCTAAGACAATGGGGGTTAGGGTTTGAGAGGTTCAAAGATCGTAGATAGATCTAAGAACGTGAGAGTTACTAGAACAACAACCAGATCGTGGATAAATTGTGATTGTTGAGTTCGTTTAAGCATATACTTGTAAGTTATCTTAAAGAAGTTTATAGTAATATATTTCTTTGTAGAGAAAACTCCGTCCCAGTTTGTGATCTATTACTGCATTAGTAGCCCTTGATTTTTAAATTGGTATCAGAGCGGGCTCTTGTGCATATTGCAAAGCTGCAAACAAGGGAGATTCCTGCAGAGAAGATGAAGGGTTACCAAGAGCGAATTCCCAGTACATCATGGCGCTTCAAGAAGGACTATCAACCTCAAGAGCGGAGATGCTTCAGCAATTAACTTTGATCAGGTTCTGAACTCAAGCAGGGGGAGAATTATTATGGAGCTATAATTGCTGAGTTCACAACCATGGTCAAAGAGGGAGAGAGTGTTGGAGGAATCAAGAAAATCGATGGTGTTCAATTAAAGGAGAGCTAGAAGATCATCATGCTATGGATTGGTTATGCCATGAGGATGGTGTACAATTAAGGGAGCGTTAGAGGATCATCATACTCGTGAAGGGTTATGCCATGTATCTAAAACTCAATCATCAAGGGAGAGATTGTTGATGCAGTGCTGACCGAGTTTTAGAACATGTCATAACAGGTGAAGATACAGTTGAATGAAGGACTTCATGTATCAGTCAAGAAGTAGTACAGAGAGTCGTGTTCAGCAGATGGGCTTAAGGAATCGATCTGATGGGCTGGACATATGCATGTAGCTGAGGAGGCGAGTCTAGAAGATTCTAGAAGAGTCAAGAGCTAAGTTGGACGAAGAGATTCGAAGCTATCAAGCAACTAGGAATATTTCCTTTTCCTAGAGAAAAATAAGGAAAGAAATATTCTCTTGGAGATTTGGAGTGATCACCAAGGGAGAAATCTTAAAGGGTTTCAAAGCGTGCCTATTGTGGATAAATAGGGCGTGGAGAGCATTGTAGTGCTCAACCCATTACATTCGAAGATGCCTTAGCATAAGGTTTTGGGGTTCTAGTAGGAAGACCAAACAAAGGGTTAAGGGCATTGTTTGAATGTATCCATCTAGGAGAGAATGGTAGGCATTGTAGTGCTGGATACCATAGCAACTGTAATTGCAATCTTGTTCTAGTGGATTCTGGACGAAAAACACGTAGTACTTGAACATGTTGTCACAGATTTACAGCTCGCTGATTTATTCACAAAACCATTGGACTTTAACCGTTTTGTCACCTTAAGAAATTCCATTGGAATTTGCACAAGTGGTTTTGAATGATGCAGGGGCTGATACAGGCACTGGCTCGGGGTGTATATAACAAGTTCAGATTTTGTTTGGAGTCAAAGGTGCCAATGAGGATCAGCTACTTTGTCATGCCGTCATGTCACCTCAACATAAGAAAAGTGAAAAGTAAGTGATTCTAAAAGCATGTTCAAGGTCAAAAAGCAGTTGAGCCAACTCCAAATGAATGCAATATGATGGAGATGGCTTGCTGCTTCAAGAACCAAAAAGTGATTCAATGAGCATAACAGGAAATGTGATGAACTGACAACAATAGCTCACAAGGCTAAGTTGGTTCATGTGATTTCTCGAAAGACAATGTTTCACAAGAACAAAGTCTGACGACAGAACTAAGAGCTGAATAGGAAAGGGGATGGACTGACAACAACAGCTCACAAGGTCTGAGTTGGTCCATGAGCTTTCTCGAAGGGTAATGTTTCACAAGAACAACATCCAACGACAGAGAATGATCACATGTTCTGCCTTGAACAAAATAAAGAGTTTCACTTTGCACATCATTGGAATTAGAGGTGGTGATATGATCTGGGTATGACAAAGTGAAAGCTGCAGGTTGGAATCAGGATGGCCAAGCACTATGAATCTGTTGAGAATTTGTAATACATCCTGATGCAAGTGCCGACTCAGTCAATGTCTCCTTCGCTAAAATGAAAGGTATTTAATTTGAGATAAACTGAGTAAAAATGTTTTTAAGCTGAAAAGATGTGACACATGGGAGGTATTACTTGTTTGGATTCTATCTTGAATCGAATCTTATGTGGTTGTCACAATTTTGGGTCCTTGTGCTGTACTGCTGATATTGGTGCTAAGTGTTGCAGGAAATCAAACAGGGATTCTGGGTCTCTAAACCAAATTAATACGGCTGATTTATGTTGATTCCGATTAAATGGTGTTTTGAAACAGCCGTCAGATCTACAAGCCAGCAATCTCCAAGCACTGCCGTCGCCTGACGAAGCGACTGAAGTAGCGACCACTACATCTCTGGTAGTGACTGCCGATGGTGTTTCTGAACCAGCAGAGCCGGATGTACAACAGAACGACGCATCAATGTCTCTGTCAGATCCATAACCAGCCGTTTCACCCTCTCGACGAAGCTCGCGAAACAGAGTCTCTTGATGAACTTCAACTAGGTCAACCGTTTCGAACTACAACGAAGTAGTCTTCTCAAATCGAGAAGCAGCCATCGATTGATCCGCCATCTGATACAGCGAGGTTTTGTCATCCGCTCTTACTCAGACTTAATATGCTCAGAGTGTTGAAGAACAGAGTGATGCAGATGTTTCTCTCGTGCTAAGGAACAAGAGAGTTCTTCAGGAAACAGGTCCCTTCGCAGTTTCACTGACATAGTTCAGGGTCTGATCATCGTCAATCTGCAAGGTAAGTTGTCCTTCTGCACAATCTATTTCAATCTGTTTATCCATCTTGTGTTTTTAACTTGTGTGTGCTCACAAGCAGGGGGAGAATATGATGTATCAGAGAACGAAAACTAGGATCTAAGCTAGAATTGTGGGGGAGCAAGACTTTTGATCTTGTTTGCATTGTTTTGAGTAGTTTTCGATCTAGAATTCTGGGGGAGTTGAGAGTTGAAAGTTCTTTGATCTTTTGGATTTAACTTTGTTCTGAATCATGTTTAATATTTCTATGACTAATGTTGAAGTATTCAGATCATCCCAGTATTCTGGTCATCTCTGGTATATGCACTGTGGTTTTGAGTTTTACAGGTGCTTGAGAGACACAAAGCTAAAAAGGGGGAGATTGAAGATGCAACTGGTTTGACGCAGATCGTGAATCAGTCAGGAAGTGCATCAGGACGTATGGACGGACTTGTAGCGGAGCTAAGTGGAGCTTAACGGAGCTAAAGGAATGTTGCTGAGCTGGATGCGAGCTTGTAGCGGATAAGGACGAATCCAGAAGAGGCGGTCGCTGAGCTGGATGAGGAGAGTTGGAGATATCAACACAAAAGGAATATTTCCTATTCTTAGAGAAAAATAAGGAAAGGAAATATTCCCTTGAGGATTTGGAGCAATCATCAAGACCGAAACCTTGTAGGGTTTCTAGGCACGCCTATTGTGGATAGATAGGGTGCTCTGGCTGCTTGTAGGCGGCTATCAAGACAAAAGGAATATTTTCTATTCTTAGAGAAAAATAAGGAAAGGAAATATTCCCTTGGAGATTTGGAGTAATCACCAAGACACAAACCTTGTAGGGTTTGGCGGTTTGTCTATTGAGTATAAATAGAGGACCTTGGCTGCTTGTAAGCGGCTATCACAAACTTGAGAGCTTTAGCATATTTGGGTTTAGATTTCTTGTAAGAAAGCTAGGACAATGGGGGCTAGGGTTTGAGAGGTTCAAAGATCGTGGATAGATCTGAGAACGTGAGAGTTACTAGAACAGCAACCAGATCGTGGATAGATTGTGATTGTTGAGTTCGTTTAAGCATATACTTGTAAGTTATCTTAAAGAAGTTTCTAGTAATATATTTCTTTGTAGAGAAAACCCCGTCCCAGTTTGTGATCTACTACTGCATTAGTAGCCCTTGGTTTTTCAAGAAATTTAAGGTTTAGTGAAAAAATAAATTTCGTGATCGATAAGAATCATGTCAAGAGTTATTATACTTGTAAAATCAGACGGTCATGGTGCCAAATTGTTAGTCATGTTTAACCACAGTCCTATATGTAATGTAGTCCACTTTTAGTTTTATTGCCTTCTCTTTGAAATTACATAACCAGCCAAATGAATCCGGTCAATGCGATGCGAGTGTGATGTTGATACCTTTTAAACAATGTAACATTAGGATATTAATATGTTTTTAGATATTGTCATTAGGATATAGTATGTTTTAATGGATCATTTGTTATGTTCGATTTTGAAATTAGAACTAGATCATCCATTATTTGCCAAATTATACAAACAACAAAAGGAAGAGAAAAAAAAGAGACGTGGCAATTTAATTTATAAAAGTATTAACTTGGTGTCACGTAATTTATAAAGCTACTAAATTAAGATTCGCGTATATGCGAGTTTATTTTAATATTTTGTAATAAAATCATGGAAAAGTATTAAACCAAATTTGATCATTTTAAAGCAAACAGAATAATATTAAAAACTCAATAAAAATATTTAAATAAAATAAGATAGGTGACCTTTTTACGTTTTTTTTGTAATTGATAATTTTTTTGAATTCATGATATAAAAAATGAATTAATTTATTTTATTTTTATTTTTATCCAATATAGAAAGACTTATATATGTCTAAATATGATCAACTGATAAATTAATTCAACAAAACTTTATTATTCCATTCAAGAGATTTCAATTGATGAAATCTTTATTTAATAATTTTTTACCTAACAATATTGAAAACATATTAACCTATTTAAAATTAGAATATCGATTCATTATATTTTCTTAATATTAGTTAGCTGCTTGATAATTAATTTGTTAGTTTTCTGTTTATATTGTTTCTTTCTCAATTTTGTTTTTGACTCAGACCATTATAAATTTTCATTTTCATTATTAGTTAGTTTTTTTTATTATCATTATTTTATACACATATCGCAATTTTGTGAACTATAAAAATCATACGTATTGTTATCATGTTGTTTGCTTTGATGAGTTTGTGAATGAGAAAAAAAAGACTACTTTAACTCTCTTTTTATAGGGGTTCATGTAACTTATTCCATGCAGTCATAGGAAATTTAGTTTACCTAACCTATTTCATGTATTAATAGGATTTATTTATTTCATTAATTTGAATCTTATACTCCCTCCGTTTCATAATAAGTGTCGTTTTGACAAAATGAATGTGGACTATTTATTGATGTATCTGGATGTGTTTTGAATATTAATACATCCATATATATTTGGATACATTGGGTATGTCAAGAGTCAAAACGACACTTATTATGAAACGGAGGGAGTATGTGTTTGGATAATATAAATTTGATGAACGGGAAACCTTTTTCTATTAGGATATGACAAATATATTTTTTTTTCTTTTAACTATAAAAGATTAACTAAACCTAACCTATTTCATGTACTAATAGGATTTTATTTATTTCATTAATTTGAATCTTATATGTGTTTGGATAATATAAATTTGATGAATGAGAAACTTTTTCTATTAGGATATGACAAATATATATATTTTTTTCTTTTAACTATAAAAGATTAAAATTTTGTTTTTTCCTTTATCTAATTTTTTTTAATTATTATTTTTTTCCTTTTTTTCTAAGACACATGTCACGATCTTAACGGACATAACATTAAAAGTGACACATGTCGCAATCCTAAATTTTATAAAAATCCTACGTGTCGCAACCACGTCGCACGCATCCAGTTTTATATAATAAGACTAGGGCATCTCCATCGCGGGATTTAAGCATGGTTTTAAAGGAAATAGGTGATTTAAATAAAGATTTAATCTAACAATATGGGGAAAATTTCAAAACTACACCTCTTGAGGTGCAAATTTATAAAAATACACCTCTACGGTGCCAATTTTCAAAACTACACTTTTTTCATTTAGTAAAAGAATTCTAACCCCTAAAATATAAATCCAAAACCCTAAAATCTAACATTGAACCCTTAAATCTAAACTCTAAACCCCAAAATCTAAATCCTAATATAGGATTAGTGAATCCAAATATATATATTAAAATTAGGGAAAAGTGTATTTTTGAAAATTTCCACACTATAGGTGTAGTTTTGAAAATTTTCACATCTTGATGTATTTCATAAAATTTCTCATGGTAAAACCGAATCTTACCTTAGCTGCTTCTGCTAAATTAGAAACCGGACACGTGTCAAGCACACGTTAAATCACGTCTTGAGAAAAAATAATCTCTCATTTTATTCTTTCGTCTCTCTTTCTCCTCCTCTCTCTCTCTCGTTGCTCCACCGTTTTCTCGCCGATAATCACAGATTTGATTCCGTTCATCGGATTTGATCTCATCTCTCCACCGTTTTGAGTATCTACGTCTCTATCACTGTCACTCAATCTCTGTCTTTTCCTGTTTCCGCCTCCGATCGGAAAAGACGATTCACACCTCTTCGGATTCCATGCCGTCGACAGACTGAGAAAGCCAGTGGCTTCCTCTACGCCGATCGGAAATGGAAAGTATATGTCTCTCTCTTAACGTAATTTGGATTAGTTGTGATCTTAAATGTCGATGGTTTTGATGTTTTGATTTTCAGTTTGATGTTTCCTGAGCTCATTACTTTTGATTTTTCATACATTAGGCAGAGAATAGTTTATTGATTGAGATAATCTGTCCATGTTTGCTGCTCTACTTTTGGCACTTGATCTTTTGTTCTTCGGGAAATAGTTTATTGCTTGGGATAGCCTTGATTCATGTGTCACTTTATTCCATTCCATAGAAATTAGCCTTGGATAGCCTGGAATGGAATCCAGTTGCAAGGTTAATTTTGTCCAGAAAAATTAGTTTTGGTTACTCTCTTTATATCAAGTATGTTATGGCTATATTCTTTATTATACTTCCTAATATGGTTATTCAGCAAATTCACCCTTGATATAGTAAACAATCTACAAAAATAAAAAGTAAAAATAGAAGGAAAAGAAAAATAATACACCAATATTTCTCATTTCAGGTTTAGATTTTTACTTTATTTATACATGAACTTAATCTTGCATTTATGAATGATAATTTTTTTGATAATTATATTAGATTTTATTTTCACTATTTTAAGATATTTGGAAACTGAAGAATTTATGATAATTCTTATCTTATTTTTATTTAATTTTATTTTTTCCCCTTTAAATTTTAATATACTACCAAATATGTCTCTCGATTTTATCTACATTTGTTTTTAACTTTAAGAGATAAAAAAAGATTTAGTGACTAAATTGATAAAAATTTGCACACAACTCTACATAAACCTCTATTCTTCTTCATGTGTTTGATGATTCAACCAGATTCAACCATCTCACGCCATTTCATGTACGATCCAAATCAATAGTTTAGTTTGTTTTTAGTGTTTTATGCTAATAGTATTTCATTTATGTTTGTCTCTGTAGTGAGTTTAATTCTGGGAAAATGATTCTCATTTTTGTTTTTTTGCCACCACCTCATTCTTTACAAATAAATGCCATATTTAAGTTCTGTAGTGCATATAATCAAAACTTTTTCAAAAAAATTATTTCAGCATGTCCCGAAAAAATTAAACTGATTATACGCAATTGCACCAGATTTTGATTCGCTTTAAATGTTAAAATTATGGCAAAAACAATAATTATACATCATATCCTACCCTACACCCACTCCTACCCAATCCATTTGACTCTGCTTTTTGCTCTGTCTTCCTTTTCTCTCTCTCATCCTTTAGTGTCACTTCCTTTTTTTTTTTTTTGTTTTTTGGTTTTATTGAGAGAGAAGAGAGAGAGAGAGATTACTGAAAAAGCTAGAAAACCCAAATCTTTGGTATTTTAGGTTGCTGGAATCTAGATCACCTGTTTTGAATCAGTCTTACCTCAAAAACCCTTACTCCCATTTATTGAAATTTTCAAAGCTACAGAAGTAATCTACGCTCCGATCCATTTTTGCTAATTTTTATTTATTGCTTTTTTTCCATTTTTCCTTCTTACTGGTGAGAGAGCTTAGATTTTGATTTTGTGGAGCTTTTTCCATTTTCTTTTCGTTATAAACCATTTGAGAGTTGTTGTGTAAGCTGATGAAATGCACTGCGTCGGCAGATCTTTCTGTATCTGATTTGATCGAGAACTCGCCGGAGATTTGATGGAAGTGAAGCTGTTTATGCTTGTTTTTCTCGAAATTTCATGGAGGTTGTAGTCCCTTGCTGTTCATGTTCTAGGGTCTTTGTCAATTCCCAG